TGTGAAAAGTCACAGAGTACAGGGGGCTATTTCTTCACATTGTGGATGCACTGACTCCACGGGGAGAGAACCTTTATCATTTGACTACTTGCATTAGCAAGCTGGAGAAGGAATTCTCATACATCCAAGCCATGTAAAACTGCAATAATCAGGTATTAACAGGTATTTTACCTTCCTTTACCTAGCATTATGTGTGATCCACATGCTTCAGGCAAAAATATCTGCACCACAGTTGGTCTCCTCAGGGGCTTGTTCTCCCTTTATGCATTGTCTCAGACAGCAGATAGAAAATGTTTCTAGTTATACCCTACACTGGAGGTATTTCTGTTTTCTGTTAATATCTTGAAAGCTGCAAGATTCACTCCCTTCTGAAGGAAAAGAAAATGACAGTTATTACTGCCTATTATTGCACATTAAAATAGGAAGAAAGGATGAGACAGAGTTGGAACTCAGTAAGATTGTGAAGAAAAACAATCCGTTGGTTTGATACATTTAAAGCAACAGTAAATACATTTCTATGGTCAACCTACTAATTCCATCATAGACTTCCCAAATTCTCATAGGAGTGCATACACTTGACTTGATGCATACAGAGGGGTCCTAAAAATTAGTACACCAGTAAATATATATATGAGTTTGAGTACTTTTTAGTGGTGTGAAATAATTCATTATTGGTGACAGCAAAAAGTACTGTGAGTTGCTGGTAAAAGAGGTTGTTTTGATGGTCAACAGTTGAGACTTGCACTGGTGAAGCATCAAAAAGCTCAGAATTCATTTTACTATGTCTTAGTCATGCTGGCTTCACAAAGTTATTGGGAAGAGGCAGCAGATTAATTTCTGTCCAACTTGAGGCACTGAAGTACAACAAGTATGGGCAGAGAAAGTCAGATGAATGAAGGTTCTATTATAAGGCACTCAGCTCACAGATGCACTAAGGTTATGCGTCGTCCATAAAAACTAGAAGAAGGGACAGCTTTTCTAGTTCCTCTTTAGCTCTTTTGTTTTCGTAAATGCAAGTACTATTCCAAAACACTAAAAGGGGGAGGTTAGAGTGGGCTAATAACCTTTCCACTTAATCAAAACTTGCTGCATGGAAAAATAAAGTTTAAACTTCAAGCTAAGCTATGTTCAAATGGTTTCCAAGTAATTTTCTTGTATAGCAAAAAGTATCACTGCCTCTATTCCAAACTGTTACGCAGAGTTCAATGTGTTTTTTCATCCTTTGGAAAAGGTAAGAGAGGCTAAAATCACAGCCTTGTCTGTTTAATGTATCTATTTTAGTTCTCCATATCAGATTATGACAGTATTACAAAAGAAAACTATTCTGGTTTCCTTTATTTTCTTTAGTATGTGTAATCCATTCCTCTAAAACTTTCACGTTCAGTAATCGCAAGAAAAGAAGCATCCAAACTGGTGCAGAACTTCTCCCAAAGCTGCCTTCAAAACAGTGCACATAAATGCTATATACATAAACACCAACACCCAGAAAGACGAGTCGCCTCTTGCAGAAAATGCTGCGTTCATTTACCAGCACCTTTAAGTAGCAGAGGCTTATAGAGAGAACTGTTCTTTCCTATGCAGTAGTTCTTCAAAGCATGTAGAAACACAAGTGTGGGTGGGCCTCCAGTCCCCTGCTAGTACTAGGAACATATTGCTTTTTAAATAATCTTTGTAACCTGCATCTTAAAAGAGGGACGAGAAAACTCAGAAGTTTTCCACATCTGATATTCTTAAGCACTGCCCCGCACTGCGCTCCATTACTGTCCTGGTAGCAAGAGAAGAAGAATGAAGACAGAAGGGAAAAGGAAACAAAGCTGAAGGTTGGGTGGAAATGAGTTTTCCTCTGTCACAAACCAACAGCTAAAGTCAACTGCTTATTTCACAAGGTGGAACAAACCTAAAACCACTCTGTTGCTTACAAGCACAGCGGGAATATCTACCAATGTATTTGTCAGTTTAACTAAATGCAAGCCAAAAGTCTTCTTTCCAGATTATCCCCAAGCCACACGAGATCATAAGGGAACTCCTCCTTTACCTTCTGCAATGTTCAAGTGAAGAATATAAAGATGGCCCCTGTTTGTAGAATTCACAACTGAAATAGATTCTCCAGTTTTCCACACATAACTGCTCTTCCTTCCTCATTTTCTAATTCCACAGACCATTATCCAACATCAGACAGATAATTCTGTCAAAACCAAAACATCAGGGAAGTTAGGAAGATGAAAATCTACCCTGTCAACTAAGAGACCACAGTGCAGCAGAACAGATTTCCTCGCATTGGAAGTGTTTTGATGGTATGTGTAATACTTTTATGCCACATTCTAAGGACAGAGATGAAGCCTTACTTTCAGGACTCTCCAAACATGTTGACACCATACTATTGACCTGACATTCATTTCAAGCTGATTAGTATCACACAAATCACAAGTCTTCATCTATGTAACGTTTTGGAAGTTATTTTTCACTACTTCTGTGGCATTTTTAAAACTGTCCAAGAGCACAAATTGGGTTTTTGAATACAAAAATGATTGAAACCAAACTTGAGAACTGTGTTAGAGTCAGTAGACCCCACTATTCAGTGACAGAGCAACCACCTTCATTTGCTGAACTGATATGGCCTAGATACTTCAGATTCAAGATATATTGTCACCAGAAGAGCCGGATTCTTCCTCTATGACTCCCAAAACTAGTATTTTGTCCTTTCTGTGGAGTATTCAGAGTTTCATGCTATGATCCCAGCTCCCTCACATATTAATTACATTTCCTAGTATAGTACCTCTGGATACTTTCTGCCTCCCAATGTCCACACTGCAAAATACTGGTTTTTAGTCCACACTCCTAACTAAGGAAGAGAAGAAGGAAGAGGACCTGCGGACTAGGCAACACATGATATGGCTGATGTGACATGACAATTAGGCTGTTGGCTGGTGTGCTCAGCTACTGGGCCAGCCAAAGAGGAGGAAAAAAGGCTGAACTCTTTATTTCTTGTGTGGTGTTTCCTGTATATTTGCTTTTGAAGTGGACAACTAACTGCTCTAGTGCTTCTGAAGACTGGCCAGTACTGCAATTCAAAATGAGTATTCTCAATGTAAACAGTGAGTCAGACCTACTAAACAGTAAGTCAGACTTTATAACTGAAAAGATAAGCTTAAACTAAGATCTTTTCCAGTCATTGAGTAAGAACCTCAAAGCCGGCCCTTTGCCAAAGAACAAGTGCAAAATCAGGCTGCTATTTGACAGACCCTAAGTAAGACAGAGCAGAAGCTTCTGATAATTGATACTCAGAGGGTTGGGCAGAATGAAAGACACTTTATTTGTCTTTTAAGAATTTGCTTTCACTTGTTTTTAGTCATAAATTCACATTCCTCTCTTCAGTACTATCAACTCAATTACCACACTGAGCCCACCTGTACATACTGTGTCGTACAGGCAGCAATAAGATCTATGCAGCGCTTCTCCATGAACTACACATCTATTGCTTGACAGAAGCAATACACTCTAGAAATGTGGTCAACTGGTGCAAAAGAAACAGAAAGCCCTAATCCCTGTTTTGATTTGCAAAGTAATTCTATCTCATCTGAGGTCTTTACCAGGATTTTCTCATCATCTCTACAATATGGTAAAAATTATTTTATTGGGTTGTTGTGAAATTTAGAGTTTGTAAAGAATAGCATAAGTAATTACACTCTTCTTCTGTAGAGGAATTTCGATATTCTGTGTTCACATTGTAGGCTCAGGAAAGGGGCTTTAGTTTGTTTCTTTTAGGTACTGCATAGCTGGTCACCTGATTTTAGCAAACATGGTTCTGAAGACGACAAAAACCAATTTTTAAAATATTTTTATTAAACAAACAAACAAACAAAAATGAAGTGTAAAAAAAACCCCAAACAAACCAGTCCATGCTGTACTCCATAAATTGGCCTTAAAAGACAATCAAAACACTGATCAAATATTTCTTATTTACAGCTGAGAAATATAAAATGCTATAAAGGTCTGCAAAGATCACTTACTCCCGGCCATCTGCATTTGAGAAACCCTTTCAATGAACTCACCTGGGACAGGATGCATGAGAGGGGAGAGCAGGCTGCTGTCAAGGGAAGTAGGGGCAAAAAACAACTGCTGTTTCCCACAGGGGAGCTGTTGGTCAGTATGAAGTGCAGATATTCCACAACATTTTGGAATCACAGATCGTGATTTTTTTCTCTTTTTTAATGATCTTAATACCATTTTCCACAGTATGTTTATCCATTTATCATAATGGAATTAATCTGGTTGTAACAAACAAGCATGTGTGAAGGTGTCATTACTGTCTCTCTCATCTGTAATCAAATTTGAGTATCTCTTTCTAAGCAGTATTTGACTACTTTGGATTGCTCTCCTGGTTACCAGTGTTAACTATTACCAGTTATCTGTCACAAGTGTCAGTGTACAGCTTTCATGGATTCTTCTACTCCGTGTTAGCAGTTATCAGCAGTGTATGAAACAGAGATATAACCGATTCATTCTTCCCCTTAGCACCAGGTGTGTCTGCAGTAACTGTACTACTTAAAAAGTCTAAACAAATCAAAAATATCAGCACATGAAACAGGAAAAAGTATAACAGACAGGGACAGACTTAAGAGTTGCTGCTGAGCTGACAGAATAGAGAACCTGTAATATAGAGATGACCATAATTACTGATTTGGGTACAGTGTGGCAAAATCAGCACATGTGGCTCTGCTGTGGTGCTTTAGATTCTGTTGTGCATTTCAAACTATTACTTTGTGAGTCCCTGGCCTAGAATTTCCTCCTGTTTCCTCTCCCCCAGTTTGTTTTTTGTTCATTTGTTTTTGTTTTGGGTTGGTTGGGGTTTCTTTAAAGCATGAAAATAGTGACTTTTTCCTCTCTGTAACCATAATGCTAAGGGGTTACCTCCACTAAAGATTCAGTATGAGCTGGTAGCCTCACTGTGACATTTCTGTCTTCCTTCCCAGGCAGTGTAACAAGAATTTCAAGCCCCAGAGCAGATTCTCATTAAATTTAGTAGTGTTTAGCTGAAAGTAATACCAAGGACAAGCTAGATTCAGTGTTCTTAAAAAAAAAAAAAAAAGATGCCTTAAAGCTATTATTACTTCCCAAACACTTCAAATCATTTCAGTCTTCTAGTTTTGAAGAGTCAGATGATATTTATACCAACTGGAAGTGTTTCTGGGATTTCTGCTCTCATTTGAGAAAATAAAGATGGATGTACTGTCTTCTCATTAGCATCTGTTTTTGTGCCCCATCTCACAGGGAGATCTCTTCCAAAACTTTGGTTGTATAGTCACCATATATCACCCAGTCACATCATGTCCAACTGCAAACAGAAGAAACAGATTTGAAGGGAGCAGCAATGAATTCAAGTTGTCTTACATATGTTTAGCACTTAGAATACACAGCAAATTTGGAAATCCTTATCATGTAACATAAATGGATTGCACAGAGCTTATTACTAAGCTTCTATAAAGTAGAAAAGCAAACTTAAAAATTTCATCTTCATAAACATATGTGCAATTTATAAATTTTAAAAAGTACAATCTAAAAGTAGAAATCTGTCTGTTATTGAAGCTTCTTTAGAACCATCTACACCATCAGCTTAAGCCTTGGAGTCAGACTTGTAATGACTCAGCCTGTAAAAGATGGCTAAAATATTTAAAAATATTTAAAATATATATCTTGAAATCCTTGAATTTCAGAAGTCTATACAGAGAAGTTTAATTGAGAAGATTAAAACATCTTTTCTTAAACAATTTTAGTTTTCAACCCACACAAATAGCTGATCAAGAAATCCAAGCTTTGTTAAATGCTATTATAGTAAATTACAACAATCCACCATCAAATGAGCAGCCTCACTGGCTGTTTTGAAACACACCAGAGGACACATTTTGCCTATGTAAACACCTATGTTATGTAGTAACATAGTATTTGCCATCATGAAATTACACACCTGGTTAACTTTTACGATAGCAAATAAGTAATTTCATGTGGCTCTTTTCTGACTCAATTCCTTTAGCATTTTCTAAGCCACGCACTCTAATCTATTGCTTTAAGAAGTACTTGTGCTCTCATTACACCTTTCAGTTACAGTTGAACTCTAAAGCCACATCACATCTTTACGGTACTCACCAAATCATCAACATCACCACCTTCATCTGTGGGAGGCAGACTTTCATTTTTACTTTCTTTCGGAGCCAAGAACTGAAAATACAAATGTATTTATGTGATACTGACAAAGCTGAGAGCATTTAAGGTTAAATTAACAGAATGTCTCCTTTCTGTATCAAAATAAATCCACCTGTAATTAAAAATCACAAAGAAAGTTTTTTCTGGTTTCCCCTCTCCAAAATCATCTTAAACTACAAGAAATTTCCTAAACTTGCTTTTAAAGGATTTTATGGTGAAATGTGTCAAAAACTAGACAAAAGGATATGGTTCTTCAGACAACATATGGTTAAGTCTGTATAACACCCTACAATAAGGATGCTGCAAATATTAGCCCCTAGTCTCAGGGGGAGATGGGGAAACTTCACAGAAGAGAAATCATTTGAAATCTACTAAGTTCACAGAAACAACCTCAAGCATAAAAAGTTCTTGAGACATCAGTGGCTGGAGCCTGGGATTGTACACTTTCCCCTACCCCTCCTGTTTTTGTCCACTGTCAAATATGGGATTCTGGGTTAGATGAAATTTTGTCCCCTACAGTTTGGCCATGTTTATGGTCTTAAAAAAATATAATTTTTAAAAGTAATATTGTATGTAGCTACAAAATACTCAAGGATAACACTGATATAAATACATACATGAGCTGACCAATGACTTAAGATATTTCCTATGTACAACATTCTAGTTCTGTGTAGAGCACAGAACTACTTCTGTGTAGAAGTTTCCCTGCTTAATTCAATTAACATTTAACAAATGAACAAAGACATGAATTAAAAAAAAAAAACACCCTCAAACATGCAAGATGGTTAGAATGCCAGTCTTTAAAATTAGAAAATTCATTATGTAAAATGTATTGCTGTAGCTGCTGATACAACTCACCATATGCCCTTCACTTAAAGCATGACATTCATAAACAGAAGAGAAAGGTATGTTGCTCAGACACTACAACAACTGAAATCAAACATATAGACAATACCTGCAGTACTGCTACCTCTGAATTATTTTTCTCTCAGCTTAAAATAAAAAAATTAGCTAGGATGGTAGAAAAAATACCAATACTGGATTCCTACTTAAAAAAGCATCCAGTTGTCTACAAGTTTTAGTTACAATCTTTTTACCAATATCCTTAATATAAAATAATATTTTTTCCTTATTAAAATACACCAGAACAAACATACAGAGCCAGGAACAACCCTGCCCAGGATAAAAGATAGCTGCAAAGCAGAGGAGGTAGAAAAGCCACATTCCGTGACTTTGAGTTCCACCATCCTTAAGAAACAACTTCACTGTAACTCTAGATGATGGAAGAGAACAGCTAATTAGAAAATCTCCACATTAAACAGGCTACAAATACCTGCTTAATGTAACTCTTTTGTGCAAACAGATGGCTTCTAAAAGCAAACTGCTGTTCAGCTGAGGACCTGAACTGTAACAACCATGGAGCTTGTGCAAGAGGCCATGGGATATCTACCAGCACCACCAACCTCTGAGACAATATACCTGTACTGTGAAAAGCTTAAATGCTATTTTAAACAAATAAAATATTCTGATCCTTCTCTAGAGGACTCGTGACAGCTTTAGACATGGGATAAAATACTGTGACATTACACGTTGCATCCCACCTGTGGGAAAGAACCAGATATCATATGCACTAGCATGAAAAGCAAATACATTACATTTGGTTAACACCAAAGACAGAGGATGTAGACAACCTCTGCCTAGTTGTCTCAGAAGCCAAAGGTCAGACCTTTCCTATATCCTAAACAGCAACATCCAAGAGGAATGTAGAAAGCTCACTCCACAAACAACACACGTTTTAACATGCGGAGTTCAACTTATCATAGAGATTTTGTAGCTGAAAAAAGAGAATGTGACAAGGACAGAAGGAATTAGAATTTCAAGATGCTGTATGTCTGTGTATCTTTTTTGTTGGAAGAGTTCTTAATCTACTAATCTAGTAGTAATATAAAGCACATACTATGAAACTAAGAGCTAATGACATTGTCAGCTCTTGAAGGCTTTTTGTGCCAGATCAAATTTCATTTTTACACACTTAATTAAGAGTCAAATGGCATTTCTGAAAGCAGCACATTTTTCAAAGTTTTCAAAATTAGCTTTCTCACACTAAATTAGGTAAAGAAAGCTAAAAGCTAGAGAAGTGTGCAATGAAGATTTGCAATAAATTGAAACCTGAAATTTCCATCAAATGCTGAATATTGAAAGTTGGGTTTTTTTCCAAAAACCTATTTTACATTTATGCAAAAGGAAATTACATATAATAGCTGTGCTGAAATCCATTATCTTCCTCAATGCAACCAGAAAAAGCACTTCACATTTCTGCTCTTTTAACCTATCATCCTCATGCTCTAAAAAGAGTACCTCCACTATTACAAAAAAAAGCAAAACCCAACAAAACTATCTAAAATCATTTTCTCAGTGATTGGAAAACATGCATAGATAACCAACCTTGTTACAGATGAAAAAAGCAGTTTCTAAAATACAACCTTTTCCTGCTCATTAACTAACTCATGGAGAACCTACTTCTACCCACTTCTGGCTATTGCTACCTCAAGCAAAAAAGAAAAAGGAAACTTTTACATGTTACCTCTCTAATAAGCAGCCTTCCTTTTCCCTGTAGACAGCAACCCTATAAAACCTGAAATCTTAGAGCCAAAACAGTCCTGAAACTACTATCAGGTAAGAACCAGGATGTAAGAGAAAAGGCTTTTGTGACACATCGGACCACACTGACAGCCAACCCTGTGACCTACAGGCTTGCACATGACTTATTACAGAGGTGAAGAAAACTTGCCTCTCATCCTATTGAGGGATATTTGAAAAATCCAATATAATCTTTTAGTGAAGGATATTGTCTTCAGTATAGAAAAAAAAATGAACCACTTCTGCAATCTACTATAGACCTACAAAAATGCTGACTTTGTATCACACAGGAAACCTGTGACTGGGTTTAACTAGACCAAAGAGGACTAGATTTTAGACCAGCAACATAACCTCAAGATAAAATTTTCTATCCCTGCAGATCTTACTCCAAGAATATGCAGTCTTACAGCTTAAGTAAAGAGTCATATGAGCCCCTGATGGACAATGGCAAATTAGCGTTCTGGTTTTGGTTTGGACAATGTGTGGGGAGGTGGCTATCTATTGAGTAAGTAGGACTGCCAACTGCCTAGTTAGGAAAGAGGTGCAACCCAATTACTCTGGAATTTAAGGTACCTGCCCTGTTAGAGAACTCTGCTGCAGCACTGATTTCTTGCATTCTCTCATTCCCCAATTTAATGGGAACATACGACTATTGTATGACCTTCAATCAATCACAAAATAGTTTCCTGTACTGCAACATGTGGCTGACTGTAGGATGATGGTAAACAGAAATGTAAATTTGAAGTCATTCTATAAATGCTTTGGTTTAGCTTAGTCTGGCAGCTGTAAATTAGTCCTTGGTACTTCATATTTTGTGTTGCATTCCTATGCAGGCATAGTATTTTTTAGCTACCACAAGCTCACAGTTAAGACAACAGTATGCTGTAAGGTCTTGATGGTTAGTAGAGATTTCCTTAAGGAACAGCTATTTCACACAGCATTAGCATATTTTTTGAGCATCAATGGTAGTTTCAGACTAGAAAGTAAAGTTCTCAAGAAGAACGTTATCTTAAGAAGTTTCCAAGTAAATTCATAGCACTTGAAATAAATAAAAAACCCCGATACTCTTTAAAACCACCACTGGGGAAAAAAGTTGCTCTGTACATTTATGTCTAATGAGAAACAGCCATTAGGTCCTTCATGTCTAGAAAAATCATCATACTTTGCCATTTGTACCCTCCACATGTGCTCAGCTTTCTGGACTCCTAGTCTGTTGGCTTTCCATTTTCATGACATTTCTGTGCCTTCTTCACCTTGAGGTAAACTGTTAGAGATGAGAAAAGCAGTTTCTAAAATACCACCTTTTTCCGCTCATTAACTAATTCATCGAGAACCTACTTCTACACACTTCTGGCTATTGCTAATGGAAGGCCTGAAAGTTGCAAAAATCAATATGGTTTCTTTTATAAAAGCTACTTCTCTGCAAAATACTTAGTGATTTTAGCCACAGGTTTACCTTCAGGGGGTCTGTAATACAAGGACCTTCTTTCTCCTAAACGAGCAGCCTGATACAATATTCCCCATCTTACCCTTTCCACACAAATACAATTTTTGACAGCAGCTCTGAATTCTGCTTTATTCCAAACAGAAGGCAGCATTCTGCCTGTTAGAATTCAGTCATTTGTAACTGTGACATCCTTCATCTATCACTGCAGTTACTGAAGTGCTATATACCTGTAGGAGTTATACCTGCAAGTACTCCAAAACTCTCATTTCCGAAAGGATCTAATATGATCACAAATAACACCAGCATCACCTATGACATCCATCAATCACAAGGGCTGCATAAAGTGGAAAATATTGGTATCATTGCATATATTATGAAAACTAGCCATAACAACCTTAACGGTTGGAGTTCCCAACATGTTTAGACAATAAAAAGTATTTGATTTTTCAGCTCGTGCTATCTGTGAGAAGACATTTCTTTCTATGAAGTTCGAATAGTGATCTTATATATGTAAACAGTATACTGCTGTTCCACTACACAGAGTTGCTGAAGTTTCTACTCTTTGTAGAGGATATTTTCAGATAATGTCAGTACATGCTACTTTCTAAAGACCAATTAAAGTAAAACATCATTGTACATGCTAAGGAATTATTTTGGCTCTGAATTGGGGCAATTTCAATCGTGTGGCAAAAGGACACTCTTATTCCTTCATACTGATCCTGTTTCATTCACCTAAAGGTTTATCCACGTAAGAAAGTCTTCTATTCCACAGCAAGGTCTCTATACAAACAGATGCTCATTAAAAAAACGATACCTTTTGAGCCTCTTCGCTGGTCACTGAACTTTCCTGTGCTTCATCTTTACTGATCAAAGAAATTCTGTCTGAAAAATGAAAAAGATATATAAAAATATCATTAGAAGGCTTCCCAAAAATGCACCTAATGTTACAAATGAAAAACGTGTTCCAAATTCCAACTTCTGAATGTGTCATCATTACCAGCAAAAAAAAAAAAAATATTGCTCAAAGGAAAATGTGACTTGCATAAATGAGTCAACTATGATATAAACTATGATATAAAAATAAATTAATGAGCATATTCATAAGCTTGTGGAAGTATCCATTTAGGAAACTGCTAATATTATGACAATCAAACTAATGAGACACTGAAATCATAGATCACAGATGAAATGCTGAAAATCTATTAGAAATTACACTTTTAGTCATTCACAGCATGCTCTTAGGTCCTTAGAAGAAATTAACTCCTAGCATACAGACAGTTATGCTGTGATTACCTAGTCTTAACTACCAAAGTGCTGGTCCTGGCCCACCTGGCTCCTTGCTTGTGCCAGTACCTCCATCCTGTGCAGTGAACCCCCCCTCTCCCACCCCCCCCAAAAGTCTCGTCACCACTTGGCCACACAAATGCTTGTGCCTGAATAAGCAGCTGTGGGTGTGAGAGCAAAGAACTGTAGATTCCTAAAGGTTCAGCAGCAGCACAAGTGTAACGCCCGTAGAACCCCATGGCAGTTCCATGAAACAAGTGAACTTGTCAAACAGACCTGCCTTGCTCCTGAGCTACTAACTCATTAACTTACATCCATCCTCTTTTGGTGACTGCAGTCACTCATGACAAGGCCCAATGCACACCACATTTGGTAGAAAAGAAGGGATGGGTCATGTGACAAGATCAGGGAAAACAGGACTTCTCCTCCTGGTAGCAGCAAGCAAAACACAATTTCAGCTGCTTACTGAAAGCAGTTAGATTATGCATGATTTCTTTTCACCATGCTCTCAAAAAGATACCATATTTAATATGAAAATATCATGTCTCTTTGTCTGTGGGGTTTTTTCCCCTAAAAAATATACTCCAGTTTGTCAAAAACTGGGATTCGTACTACCTAAAAATTATTCTGGCATGGCTTTGAAAGATCTAAGTTTCCTGCTTTCAAAGTTTATTGGTTTCTTTTTTCTAATTTCTTCAGAGAAGGTCCCTTACAACACTACTGAAAATAATATTCTTGTCAGTGTTGTCTTGTGCTGTTTTTTTTGGGTTACTAAACAAATTCCCATCCTGTATTTTGCAAAAGTTGGATGAAGTAGACATTACAGTGTGCCTGGAGTTTATCGCTTTGAAAGGTACTATACAAAAGCACATCACTGCATTTTATACCATACACTCTTAAGAGTTACAGCTGGGCATTTAACACATTTTCTTAGCATTGGCTCCAATTAAAAACATAAGTATGATGTAAAAGATGGTTTTTTTAGTCTACTGTGTTTCATATTTGTGAAAATGTTCCTTTATTTATCACTTGCGTAGTCTCTGAATGTCTTCTAGAATGGCACTGCCTTGTATCTCCTGGTTTAATCAGGTAGGTGTCATATTACCACATATTCTGCCTTTTAGGTTACTTAAATACAAAATGATCAGTGACATATTTCAATGCTATCTATGACTTTTGTGAAGCTTAAATTGGAAGAATCTTTTTAGATCTTTGCTGCATGAGTTTCTTCCATTTATTCTGAAATTCAGCTGAAATTGTGTCTCCTTCTCCTTACCCCGTAACATTTAATTTGTCTCTCTTCTTCCACAATTAATTTACCATTGCAACAAGACTTGGCAAGGCATTATGAATATTGCTGATATGAAACTATTAGTGCAGAAAAGGAAGCTGCAACATGAAAGATTTTTTAGACATTTTTAAACAGGCTGCAGGAATGAACCATATCAAAATACTGCTGTGGGGTAATTTAAGTGTCCCATTGCTAACAAAGTTTTCCTCTTACATAATGGATAAATGGAAAATGCAACTAGAAATTGGGGGTTTTTTGGTTTTTCTTAATGCCATCCTACCTTGTATCATGATCTCCCAGAAATCAGCTAAGGCTTTATCTTCCAACTTTGATTTCAGGGCTTGCAGAAAGTCATTAAAGCACTGCACCTTGGACAGCTGAAAAAAAACCCAGCAATGGTAAACAAGAAATACTTAAACTACTAAAGAGCACTGCAAACTTAATTCTTCATGAGTCATCTAACACAGTGAATGCAAAAGTCACTACAGAATTTGAGTTTTATCTCTATTAAAACTACGAGTTCTAAGAAAAGGTGAGCCACAAAAACTGCCTTTCAGAAAGCTAGAAATACTTCCTTGTAAATAGCTTTATTGAAGAAGAAAAATGTAGGATTGCTTATTTTTCTTACACCAGCATCAGGTCATAGGCCTTCTGTTTTATGTTTAAAAGAAAACAGCAAATAATATCAGAGAAGCAAGTCACCATTCCAGTAAGAATAAAAGCCTGCATAAAATGCAACTTTCTAAATTTTCAAACATACTTTAACCTAAAAATCAATTATTTTTGCTGCAGCAATAAATTATCAAGTTTCTAATACAGCAAACAGGCCTATCATGACTTTAATTTGAAAGAGATAAGAGTATTCACATATTAACATCACCTTCATGGCCTCCTCTCTGAAAACTCTAATACAATCGATCCCTTTCACGTAGTACTGTGAACCTTTATTTTCCAGGAACTGATCAATGCGGTTTATCAACTGCTGACTCACTGGAAGACAAGGAGAAATAAATAAATAAATCAAAGGATGCACACTTTCAAGAAAAAAACCCCACTTTTCTTTTAAGTCTCCTTCTATTCCACACGCATCTAAATAGTTAATCACACCCACAATGCCTCAAGCTACACAAGTTGATTATTGTTATCTCAGCTACTGAGAATTACTTCAGACTCTCTGGAATAGCTAGATATACTAGGAAGAACCCCAAGCATGTCCAAGACAAAAGCCTTTTCCCTGAAAGCCAAGGAAAAAAGCACTGGCCTCGCTTGTTTGATAAAAAGTAAAACCAGAACATTCAGGATCCTAAAGCTTAGGGAGATTATGTTCTACAACATCAGCATATACCTTAAATACCCTTTGAAACAGATGCATATTTCATGATTTTTTCATCAGGGCAACACTGTTTATCATTATAGAGATAAGTATTATAAACTGTGCCCATGTGACAGAAAGAAGCAGAGGTAAGCAGTGAGACCTGTACCAAAAAGAAGGGGAACACCAGTTTTATCCTTACTGCTCAGCTCCTAAAAGGTAATAGCTGTAAACCACTGCAAACAAGACAAGTAAAAATGTCACTCAAGAGCTCTGCAAGCCCTATTAATTTCTACTGGATTTTAGTACTTTACTTCATGTTTAATTACAAATGAGGAACTGTCCAATTTTACCCTCTGGCAGACACCTCAGCCTGGGAAAAGACAAATGTGAGGAGGATACAACAGTGATCTATAAACTCAGAAACTTTCTGAAAAAGATGAATAGGGAGTTGATAGTTCCCTGCCTCTCTCAAAACAAGAGCCAAGAGTTGGGTTAAGAACTAAAAAAAAAAAAGTACCTCTTTAAACGTAAACCAGTTAACCCCCTTCACCACAGGCTGCTGTCAGATGCTTGAGGTTTTAACAGCTTAAAAAAACGTTTGAACAAGTTCTTATAATTCTTAAAAGAGGATCTCTATCAATGGAGATTAACAGCGATGTTGCCATTGAGGAAGAAAATTCAGGACAGCATTCTGAACAAGTCACAGCATCTGCCTGTCCTGTTCTCATACTATTAAAAACCAGTTACTGGATTAGCAGAACCTTTTGCCTCACCTACAGCCCTTCCTATGTCCAGATGTTATGAGCATAGTTGTCACTGCAAGTCTTTCAGCTAAGGATACATCAACAGAGAAAATCATCTGCCAGAGTGGTGGAAGAGAAGGAGAAGTAAACACATGGAGACATTGTTTAAGTACTGTATTCCACTCTGCTCACTGTGAGCATACACAGCACAGGCTATTATATTATTTTCTATAAAATGCCTAATTGAACTGAATCGGAAGGACAGCATCTCTGAAAAGAGCAAAACAAGGCATGTTTGATATTCTCCCACTAGTTTTTGACAATTTTTAGAAAAGGAGGCTGAAATGGTTCTGCTCAACAGCAGCTATAGCACAAGAAAGTGTGTTGAAGTGCCTACTGCGCCAGAGGTGATCAGCTCACTCTCTATTTATTTCACCAGTAGCTGACAAACTAAATTGAAGCCTCACTACTTAAGCTCCCCAAGTTAAGTCAGTCCATTTTTTTCATGGTTAATGATTTTCTCATTAAATGTTTTAATTTCTTATGAATTGCACTAATAAAAGCAAGTCCTGCTGGTGTTTTCAGTGGTGGTGGTGGTTTTTTAAACACTGCCTTTTCATTGATGTGTTAAATTAAAACCCCAGGCACTATGAGGGTACAATAAAAGTCCTTATTGTCAGAATGATTCCAGCACATACTGTTTGAAATTATCAGACACTCTACTACTTCTTTTGCATTTATTTTTTTAAAACCCCTTTCCATTTGATTGCCCTGGCAGCCATCAGAAGAAAAGACGTCTTCCTGCTACTGACTGTGAGCCGCCTCCTTTTGAAATTTGTTGTAAGGAACCAAAGGAAACCTACAGTGTTTTACTAGGCATTGAAAGACCATAATATATTCAGCAAACAGGTTACATGGCAACAGTCAGATTCCTCTAACATCTTGAAACAGCTTGGCTAAAGCTGATTCTGTCCATTGGTCTCCCTTAAATGATAGGCCAATGAATCTAGAATAGAGAAAATTCCTGTGTTCTGGTTAGACTACCAAATTATTTCAAGTGGCCAAAGACAATACCAGAGACAGTAGATAAGGATTATAACTGGAAATTTTCGAAGTGGACTCTGTTGCTTTACATTCTAGGTCTGAAAACTTTGTTGATTTCCTGCTGCCTTTTCATTAGTCTGAATCTTTGGGTCTGGGTGCTGCAAAAAATAGACGTCTCTGTTTTTGGAGCAAGGCATATTCCGCATAAAGATATCTTTTCAACTAAGCTGTGATAAGCATTAACTCTGATGTGTCCCAGACAAATTTCAGGCATTGAAGTTTTGAAGAGCAGGTCCTTGAGTTACAAACTGACAGCCTATTCAGGCCACTGCTGTGTAATTATAACTTCTTTTCCTTCCCTCCCAACTTACCTCATTCCACACACGTATTTAAGGAAGTGAACTAACAGACTTCTACATTTTGCATTAACAGGAATTCCAGCACTCTTAATAACCATCACATTCTGCAGAACATCCCAAGAAATTTTAATCTCCTGTTTCCTCCTTCTACCTTGTCTGACTGGTTAGATAACAAATGTAGCTATTAAAGGTTGGAGAATGGCAGGAAAAAAAAATCATAGAAGATCTTTTAGTTCTAACAGAATTTAATCCCTTCCCCGCTGGCATTCAGATACACTTGCTACTCTAAAATACATTCAGTAGTGCTGTCATTTCTTGTGAAATATGTCATGAACAATTATATTCACTTGTTATCTCTGAACAGTTATAGTACAAAAGTGTAGTTATATTTTCATGTTTGTTCAGTTTAGTTCTTGGTCTTGATTACTATGCCAACCAGATTACACAATAATAATAGACAAAACTGTCTATTATTACAGTCCAAGTTCAATTCCTTGGGGATTTCCCCCCCCCGACAAAAATAGATCAGGTTAAGAAAACAGTTCTTCCTTAGACAAAAGCCTCCTGTTGTTGTCAATCATTTGATTTATCTGCTGGTGGTGGTAATGATTTGTATTCAGGGACAGTGCTTAAACTAAGAATCACTGACAAATCAGTTAAAACATCTGATAATTTTAAAACACTGCTCTATAAGTATCACCTTTATATAACTGAAAAGAAGAAAAATTCTGAACTGAAAACTGTCCTAATTTTTGAGGACTTCCTTCATCTTTAAGCCAAGAAAAATGAATTTTAACATTAAGACCTGTTGAACTACTCCAATATCCTATGAGATGCTGTTCAATTTTGAAATGATCTCTAAATAGCCTGTGGGTATGGATCGTAATGATTTAAGCTGGATGTCTGAAGGACATACGACCCCAATTCCCACTCAAAACAGGTCATTGTGGATCAGGTGGCTCAGTGCTGCACAGACTTAAGCTCCACATAGCTCCAAAGATGGAGAGTCTCCAAGTTCTCTGGGCCCCTCTCTTTCTTTGTTTGAGTACCATCATTGTGATCTTTATTATCTTTTTCCCATAACATCTAATTCAAATTCTGTTTGTTGCAACTCAGTGCTTTGAGTCTCACCCAATTGCTGTGCCCTTCAAAGTCGAATCTAGCTTCATCTCCTCTGTGAAGCAGATACACAGAAAACTTCAAAGTGATTCTATATACTCAAGTATTTGGTTTGCAAATACTCTTCTGATGACTGAATCATTTTCAAATCAGTCATTGCATCTGGCCTACCTAGCAGTAGAGCATGAATAGTCTCCGAAACACACAAAAATATTCAGTAAGATAAAAATGCAGACAAACTGCAAAAACATGCCAGCAAAAAATGAAATTAAATATTAGCTTTTCTAAAAACTAACTTAGGTCCAGAAAGGTAATTAACTATACCTATTTCTACAGAAAATCTTGCAATAAAGTATCATCTTTGTTCTCGTGTATTAACTGATTCCTTTAACTATATTTTTCTAGAAGTGCCTAGGAGTAAAAACATTAACAAAATTTCTATAAATATAAAAATGAGAGTTTGGTACAGTTTGTCTCTGGACATTTTTTCTTATGTCCATAAACTGTTGAGTTGTCATTGCAGATTTCTCTCCCCGCTGACAATCAGTAAAATAAAATAAAAAAATAAATTAAAAAAAAGCTTTTCAACTGCAGGACTTCAGGCATCATGTTCTCAGACAGGAGTCCTGTAAGATGCAATGAAATCTGGCCTATAAACTCACACAGAAAATTTACAAATCAAAGGAAATACTATGCATGTGTCAGTATCTTTTTTTTACTCCCCTGATCCTTCTTCTACAAAAGCCTATGAAAATACAACCCACCATATCAGACACGATCTGCTCTCCGGAGATGCAGACATGGATGGAAACATCTAAATAGTCTAACAGGATGAACTGGTAATCATGTGGCTACTCCTTTGGCATTAAAAAGATGGCAAGCACTCACAGCATTTGAGAATTCTCTTTGCAGCCACAGCAATGAAGAAACTCATTGTACATCCTCGGGAGCAATGATTAGATTCTACTCAGGTAAGCTAATCTATTTTATGTGCATTCTTTGACAAAAACATCAGCAGGTATTATCAGAAGACATCTCTTTGTGATGACTGTGTACTTGTAACCTGCTCAAAATAAGACCTGTATAAAATGACATCTCTCTGGCCCTGAATACAAATAAGAAAGTAAAGATATCTAGAGGGGAACACAATTCTAGTTACATGAGCATCAACATTAACCACTAAGTGACACCATATAACACAACTCATCATGTAACCCTTAAGTAGGTCCCTACTGTAATAAACTACAGTTGTCAGTTAAAACCAAAGTCAATTACTGTTTCAGGAATTGAGCTGCCAGTCTCAGAAAACCTATCCCTAAGATCCTTAACAATTTGAGTCTTTGATTTTCTAAAAATATGCATGTACATATTAGTGGCCCAGTTCTAACTAACACTGAATGCATCATTTCTCCTGCTCTAGTCTGCTGTGGGACACAGCATCAGACACGGACCAACTTGCACTTAGGCTTCTGCTGGGAATGGCACAAATCCTGACCATCAAATCCCAGTGAGGGCACGGCAGAAATGTATTGGGACTTGTTTTTGATGATAAATACACCATCAGGACTTCCTACAAGCTGTTTAAAAAGAAAAAAATCCCCTTGGCATCCTCTGGTACTGCTAACTTCACAGTTTTGGTGAGAGACTTGCTGTGGACTGAAGAGGATGTGTGCCATTAACCTGTTTACATAACCAGAGTGCAATACACCAAGCCATTAAAAACATGTCTGCAATGTTTTATGTATTAAGCTACCTAAAAGGCCCTAAAGCATAAAAAGGATTAGCCAAAAGAAAGAGATAATATGCAGAGCATGTTTTTATTTATAGTGGCTCCTATCTTTCCTTTAAATGGGTGACTGCACTACATTCTGTTTAACTACACCTTATCATTACAGAGCAGATCACACAGAATAAAAGCAAATTGCTCAGAATTTCAGAACCTTCCAAACATGTACTGCAGTTGTCTATCTTGCACAGCTACCAAGTGGACATATTTAAGCACTCTTTAGTTAAGCCATCTCCAAGGGTAATCACTATACTCATTTCTGCCTTAAAGCTTTCCTACATGATAAAATTTATTACTGTAACGAAGTAGTCAACTGTTTCACAGTGTCTGTATTCTAATATTTTGTACAATGCTTTTTTACTGCATCTTAACATGTTTGAGATTTAAAAACACAATTCCAAATATCTTTTCAATAAACAATTTCTTCTGGATCTAATACAAAACCCATGTAAAAAGCCAGCTGGCTGGCTTATAGGTCTGGAAATTCTGGAGAGAAATGGCTATGTAGGCTTTAACAGACTATATCCCAAGTCAATATACTACTCAACACACTCCTCAACTATGTCTAAAAGGACCAAATGCCTTATTGAAATACTTAGCACCTCACTTAAGCACCTCTGCAAATCTTTCTTTGAAAAGAAACACGACATTAGTGACTATTTGGCAGATCAAGTTTACATTACCACAACCTTCAAACCACCCTTTAAAAGATAAAGGACCCCATCCATCTTGTGCATTCTTTTTAAGATACCTTTGGATTACCTAGATCTCTGTATAGCTATTCTACTAGGGAAATACCATACAAACAAATGATAGTTCCATTGCATTTTCAGACTCAGGGCATGCAAGACAGTGCCTGACCTGTGCTTTGTATTCCTCCTCTCCACTGTATCAAAACCATGTCTTGCTGTATCCTGAGGACAGAGCCAGTGCACACAGAGCCTCCTCTCATCTTTCATACACACATACTACCTGCCTATAACACCTCAAAGTCACCTGTGCTTTCTTTTGCTCACAAGCAGTAAGAAATGATTTTTGCATGTAAAGATTTAAATCCCAGGCATCACAGTCTTTTTTGTTCTACATGGAACAGAATAAGAAGACTGCAGAAGACAGGTTTCTCACACTGCGTATACCCAACAGCCCTCCACAGCAAGCCAGAAAGATCCTGGGAATGAGAAGCTGAGACTCAGCTGGAATGAGGCAGTCAGTGAGTACCAAGGGATCTTCTGTTAGAAACACCTGTGGGGTTGCTCAGGTGCCTCAGTGTAGCTGTTTTACAGTAGTAGTGCTGTTTTACTCAAACACAGGTACCTGAGACTTTTAACTGGGGAAGGTGAGTATTGAAATGGGAATTACGAGAGACACCTTTCTTTGCTAAGTGGCACTAGAAACTAACCTGTAAATTCCAGAGCACCTCACATAGCACTAATTAATCAGATTGCATTTACTGAACCCTGAAGATGCCACCAATATAATTAAGATATAAAAAAGTCATTTACCATCTTTGAAGTCAGCGTTTTTCTTCCTCACCAGAATTCGGAAATCTTCTGCTGGGTTAACACTTCCTACCTACAAAGGTACAAAAACGATACAATTGTCTGCCAATACCCATCTCTCTCTTCTTGCAGGGCAACAAGAATCTTTGAACTTCTTTTAGTTTTAATATGGAAACAGAAGCTCTACACTTCTCTGCAAGCAGACTCATAAAATGTAAATCTTCCAATGTGTGTTAATGCACAGTACTCCCAGCAAAGGTTAGTTACGACACAAGCAAGATGAACTCACACTCACTATGCTGCACTGTTACCAGTCAGCCACGTTCTCTGGTGCTGAGAGGACACAAGGACAGTAATTCAGATTACCTGCTAGTTCAGCTTTGAGACCTTCTCTAGCACAGACCACTTAGACCTCCCTAATCCAGCCAGATGCCTACTGAGGAGTGGGAGCTTCCACGCACATGAGTACAGAATCAGTGATTTCCCATTTCAATAGGAAGCCCAAAATTAAAAGCTTGCCCTCAAGTCATCTACCATTTCTGGCACATCTTAAAGCCAAAACTCTAAATGAGCATACAGGTGCAGAAGCCTTAGAAAGGAACTAAAACCAGGTCAAATATAAATTAACACTTACTGAAAAACGGATGCATTAACTCTAATAAAACCCCCCACACACACTGCTTAAAATTTCCTATCAGAAATGAAAATTCTCTTAATTTAATTAATTAATTAAATTAATTTTTTTTGAAATTTTTATGCGTTGCTGTCAAAGTAATTTGTGGACTTTTCAGTAAGCTTGCTTGGTCTCATCATGTTTCCTCTAAATCTGGCAATGCCACTTTTCAGGAAATATCAGAAATTTATATTAGGAGTACATAATATTGAAATCGTTTTAGATTTTAAATCTTTTATAAATATCAATAACGTATTTTTAAAAACGAACCCTAAAGAATAGCATGGTTGAAAACAAGGGAAATTATCTCAATACGAAATCTTTTTTTCCTATCATAGGAAAAAAATTCAAATAAAGGAAGGGCACAGTCATGACACAGACTTCACCTACCTATAGAATTAAGTTAGATCTAGCAGCAAGATGAAGCCAATTTCTGATTTAGGACCCCAACTAATGCAGAGAACAGTGTCTAAAATCTTTAGAGCAATATCTTTAATTAACTATAAAGAGGAAACTTCTATGTTGCAGATTATATGAAAGACAGCAAGAACAAAATTCAACCACTGAACTCCAATTCTGTTTTCTTCAGATCCTCAGGCTTGCCTTTTAGAGTTCTAAACACTGGGAAAGAATTCTGTCCTAAAATATCCAAGACTGACAGAAACCTATGCTAACATATTCCTAAGGGCAGAGAAAGTTGTCTTTATAATCTCTAGCAGAGACTCAAATGTACAAGTAGACAGTATTTCAGTCATGCTTCAGCTAGAAACACTCCTTAAATCAGGAATTCTGCATATTCACAATAATAGACTTAGAGAATTAATATTCCCCCTTCATAATCAGATTTGTAAAAATATGCTTACAGAGGTAATATTGCCTTCAGCAAGTTTTAGGATGCTAAAGCTCTCTTCCTCATCTTCAGTTTTTGGCTTCTTAAGGCGGGGTTCATCTTCGCTGCTGCAAATGAGAAGGACAAAACTGAATATAAACACTTGAAGTAAATTGTCCTGCCTACTAACTAGGAAGTCAGTAAATTAATAAAATATGCACTGAACTAACTGTAACTTCATTACATAACTGCTCCAAAATCAACACTAAACCATGTCTCATTTTTCCCCACAGACTGCACAAAGCAGACAGCAGGAACAGAGATCAAACTTTATCTTAGCATAAAGCAAAGGCATCACTTGTTGAAGGTATGAGATTATTCGTGCTTATTTCAGGTGTGAATTTACTTATACACACCTTCACCTTTTCAAATACGAAATACCTCCAATCACTTTATTTGGAACCTGTATGTTGAGTTAACCTTAATAATTTACACTATATATACATGACATTTGGTGTTCTCACCAGATTTGTTTTAAACATGAAATGGCAATGAAAATATAAAATTTAAGTAAGCAATTAGTTTACTCTTCAGTCACTACCTGCTAGTTCCTGTCTTGGAATTTATAGGTAATACAAACCTGTTTACACAGTGGCTTTTGAGTCTAACAACCCCTATTCTTCATCAGCACATGAGAGCTTTATAAGATTCCACTTACAGTCATCAAAATCTGCTAGACAAGTCCCAGTTAAGCACATCACAACTCTCTTATGACATTTTAAGCTACATCTCAAAATGCCTTCAAAAGGACTATTTGTTATTTTTAAAAAGCTAATTGTGATTTTAGGCTTCTTTCTCACTCTGTCCTTACAGGTAACATATACCAAGGTGTACATTCATATAAGGAACTTAACTGTAACATGGAACATATTAAACTTTAGAGCACATCTTGGCAACAGGAGAAAAATCCAGATAATCACAAAAGGGGAAGAAAATCAGATACTTTGTTCTGTGTCACATAATGTGACAGGCTACTGACACAGAAAAATTGATTTCAGTTTAAGAATGACTGAAAGCTACTCAGCAATCAAAACAGCAGGATTTGTGTTCAAGGAATCTCAAAACAAAGTAACAAGTTTTTATGAAAAATTCTACTACTGCAGTGAAAAACAGAAACTGCTTGAGGACACAGGGACAAAGCCAGAGACCCTGGACAAGGTGCCACTTTGTATTCTACAAGGTTAGAACTGATTGCAAAAATTGCATTGCATGTTACAGAAGCAATCAACTATTGGAAAGAACTTGTACAGTCTTCCTTTTTGCTTTCCGTAGCACACTCCTCCCCTACTTTACAATCAGTGTCTATCTCACTTTGTTTCTGTAGTCATCTCGTCCTTTACTTTATTTTGTCACTACTGAAATGAAATCCCTTCTCCTCAGCAACTCCTGTCATTCAGCATAACCTTACTTATCACACTAGGAGGAATGATGACTTTAGTTATGCCTCAGGACAAGGATAGGATACCTTGCTTCATTCTCAACTCCACTGACTTTCTGACTAACCTTGAACAAGTTTCTTGATTGTTTTGAACAGCCTCTGTCTCTCTGTAAAATGGAGAAACTGATACTTATCAACACCAGTGAGTTTAGAACTTCTACTGAAACAAAAAATCTTGTATATTGACGTGGTTTGATAGAAAGTGCAAAGAACAATGAAAATTCTCTTTTAGAATATTTTTCTCCAAAAGGTGTGTGGCAATCAACTGGAATGTCCTGAAACCTTTTTCTTCCTGCGTTATTTTTACTGATTCAAAATGCTTTGGGATTGTAGGAAGGAGAAAATAAGTGATGACGCTACATTTAACTGCCTAGGACCAGATCTACAGTTGTCATTAATCAGTGCAGCACAGCAGAAACTAATGAATCCATACCCATTTATACCAGCCAAGGATCTGACATTTAGAATATGCGCTGATTAGCGGTATTTTTAAACTGTAAAACGTGCAATTACTATTTGACAAAAATTAATAAAATACAAGATTAATTTAAAACACCCACTTCTACATTAATATAGAAGCTTCTCACATGCTGCAAAGCTGGATGAGGTAATAGCCTCTCTACAGCCAACCTAAGAAGGAAAAAGTAAAATGCTTTCTTTTTTACTGGACTTTTTTTAACTAGAGAGCTTAGCAAAAGTGATACAAATGAATGCTGAATACTGAAATCTGTATTAAGATATGATGTCTACAAAGATGCTGCCTTAGTCTCATTAGACCTTAAAAATAAAGCACAGAAGAATCTGGTTAATATGATGATAGGAGACACAAATCAGTTTTAGGAAACAAAAATAATGGTCAAGAGATCTTCTAGCCAACTTTTTCACAATACTTCAGTGCAAACTATCTATATATGATAGTTTTAATAAGTTGAATCTCATAGAATATAGAATTTAGAATCACAGAATGGTTTGGTTTGGAAAGGAACTTAAGTATTACCTCATTCCAATCCCCTGCCATGGGCAGGGACACCTTCCACTAGACCAGGTTGCTCAGAGCTTCATCCAACCTGGTCTTGAACACTTCCAGGGATGGGGCATCCACAGCTTCTCTGGGCAACCTGTGCCAGTGCACAGCTGCAGAGTGACGTACTTGTCTTTATCAAGTGAATAAGTTATATCACTCAACTTTTCCCCAAACACAGAACAAAACCATACAGTTAGCACTACTGTTGTAGCAATGACAATACTACTACTCCCATTCATTACTACAGCAATACAATTTTTATTTGCAACTTTTTAAAATCTTATTACCATTCATTCTTCTGTTAATAGTTGAGTCTGTATTCTTTCACTGCCTTTAAAAATCATTTTAATGCCCTACATCACTTTCTATCTCAATTACTCTCAATTAATCTCAATTTCATAGCTGCTTTTATCACCTCTCTAAAGGAAAACAGTTTTTAAACAAAATAGATTTCCTTCTTCCCTGTCAAATAGACGCTTTTGGGAAGATATATTTTTAAGCAACTACCAAGAATAGGTCACTGCTTCTTGTTTAAATTCTCTCTCTAGCTTGCTTGAACCCAATTTTGCCCCCTCCTTTTCTTTTTAAACAAAGGGTTCTATCCCTTCTTAAAATACACATATAAATGTATGTATGTACACACACACAGAGAAACTGGGGCACAGAGTAAGGAAAAGAGAATTTAATCAGTATGAATTCACAGACACACCAAGGTAACACAGGCACACACTGAAATCAACAACAACAAAAAGTAAGGTGTTTCCCAGTCTGTATAGAGACATGTGGTCATTAATCTTGAGCAGCAAAGTGAGGAGTCTTACATCATTTTTTCCCAAAGATAACTGGGGAGGAGGCTCTAGTCAACCCAAGGTAAAGGATATATGACAGGCCAGCTAAGCAAGAACTCAAAACACCTCAACGATGTTGTTCCTAGTGCTGAAATGACTGAACCAAAAATAACAAAAAGAAAGGAGAAGGAGCTAACTGAAAACACTCCAACACATTTCAATAAGTTAAGCTTTAAGAAGCAGATTTTGTTTGAGCAAATTGATTTGGCTGGGATGACAGTAGCAATGCAGTAGCAATTCAGCATTTATTCTTCCTATTTGCAGCACAAATAAACTAAACACAGTATATTCAACAACAACAAAAAATCTTACCTTGAAACTGTTCAAACAATAGGTATTCCAGGAAGAGCCCACAACAGTTTGATTTTTTCCAAGAAAACCACATTAATTGCACAGCTGATAATAATGAAGCTCCTTTTCTTTTGATTGGTATTCAAAATGAAAGCTACAGAATGACCTAAATCAAGCATGCTAAGATGACTCCACTTTATGGCTAATTTAAAGCTTCATGGCATTTATTCTAAACTAAATTAGACTCCCTTAGTGCTGTTTGAACTACTTTATAACCACCAGTAGGACAAACTGTCTGATCAGAAGACAGTAAGCAATCCAACAGGTTGCCCAGAAAGGATGCACAGTCACCATCATTTTCAAGATGGTTTTCAAGACCAGACTGGAGGAAGGCCTGTTTAGACCTCAGAGGTGATCTTGCTTTGAGCAGCAGGTTGTACAAGAAACCTCCTGAGGTCCATTCCAACCTGATGGATTTTGTGATTCTGCAACAGCAAATACAGACATATGGATGTTACAAACTGGTTGCTGGTGCGTCTAGCGCTGTAACAGTATGACCACTATTCACAAAATACTCCAGACACACTGTGGCACCACAATATTCTCCATCCATCAGCACCTTTTCCAGTGTGTAACTCATTGATTTGCTGTTAAAAAGACTCTGAGCCTGCTTCATCCAGCAAAACCAACTTGAAGTGTAAAAAAAAAAAAGTTTCAAAAAATCCATACTACATCTTCAACTTACTTGTCTTTGAAGATGTCTTGAGCAGTCTTCTCTTCTTTTTTCTTGCCAACTTCCTTCAGGGGGAAAAGTGCTTTTACTCTTTCAAGAGGAGCCTGACACCTTTCTTTTACCACAGAGGGCATCTCCAGCATCTCTAAAAGGTGCTGCTCTATTGGCGGCAGTGGCTTGTCAGGGTGAAAAGCCTTATGCTGCAAACACTGCAAGAGAGAAAACAGTTTGTGCACAGTAAAACTTTCAAAAAGTAAAACTTTTATGTGCTTTTAATATAATGCCTGTATGCCTGACACCATATGGTACATGCAAAATATCTTCCATATTAAAGAAACTACTTTTGTATTGCTAAAAAATATTCCAGCTCATGAGTTTATAGAAAGTCTATGACCAGCTGTTTAAGGAGATTAATAATGATATTAAACAAGAATACTGATGCAGATGAGTCTTTCCACACTCACTGGAATGAGTTCTATGAAAATTATTAGGAAAATCCCAGGAATGAAACAATCATCTGCAATTGTTCATATTTTTAACTTCATACTACCTTTAAATGTTCTATTACAGAACAATCACATAGGAAAGATTTCTACACATTCCAAAATTAGGCAATGAGATATATCTCAACCATGTATTCCAGTTATTGTCACAGTCCATTGTCCCTCAGAGAAAATTTTTCTTCTTGGTAAGTAACACGTGGTATGCACACAGGAGAAACTTTCACCAGTTTAAGAGCAAATAGAAAGAGAGAATGCTAAATGTGCACAGGTGAGGCACAGAATATATGTATATTTAGAACTTAGCTTTGAAAGGAGAAGGGAATAAAGGAGATTGACAGATGTACATCAAAGTTGGAACAGATGGTAGGAGATACAGAGGAGGCTCTTTCACCAAGTGTAAAGTCAGTGCACACAGTCAGGGAGCCAAAAAGAGGGCGAGAGACGAGATTAATGAGGAGGGCTGAGAAATTTAAAAACAAAGTAGGTATCTTTACAACTTTGCGAAGTATGGGATAGCATTAGAGAGGTGTGTGCATTTACAAATATATACACAGATACCAGAGCATGCATACACATACACCAAAACATGTGATGTACATGGGAGAAAAATTTTTTCCACTACCATTGCACTGGGTGCGTTAGACACCGGTGTGAAGGTAACTATTCAGTAAACTAGGAAACAGTAGATTTGCTCCCTTGTTGGCTGTCAGGCATGACATTAATTCAAAAAACAAAATCAAAGCAAGTAAAACCCCCTATTCACTTTGAAAAGCTGCCAATAAAGAAAATCCAGACCATATGCTACACATCAATACTAATGTGTTTTCATGCTGCCATTAAGATTCCAATCCATACTAGAGAACATAGTGTCCAAAGGAGGCAGCCGTATAAGGCTACCCATTTGGAAACACTCGTAATGATTTAAGGCATAATTATTTTGAAAGAGAGTAAAAATGTTGCTGCAAGCTGCAGTAATGGCTCTTCTGATACAAACCCCCCAGTATTAAAAAAACATTAGGGAATTGAATTAAACTGACAAAGCAAACAACCTAATTACCCTGTTGCAAATATGTTTTTCAGCCTTTCATATCTGAAATCTTTATGTGTGCAGCTGTAAGAGCTGAGCAAACTGCCACAAATAGCCACAGCCTCCACTTGTACCTGTTTTTAAAGTAGATGATCTGAGATAGCAGGTACCATCAAAACTCAGGTACTAAAATGGAGATTAAGTTAAACAGACAACCTGGAGTTTCTAAACCCACGCAGTCCCTCTCAACCTTGCTTCCCCTTCCTTCTGTGCCCAGCAAGAACTATTCCTACTTTCACAGGCTAGAAGGCAACCCACACTATCACTGCCTTCCGGACTCGCCGTTCTATTCACGTATGTTGTCACCAATGCATCAGCTCCACACTGCTCTTCTTAATTTCCTTACATTTACACTTCAGAGACATAGCCAGCTTTCAGGAACAGAGGTCACAGTAAGATACTGGTCAACAGATGTAAAAGTGGGCTATTCACATCATTAATTCCACTATAAGGAATGGCACAAATGCACAAACAGGCAGAAATTTACTGCAAGAAAGCATTCTGCCTTGTTTCCTTTCAAACTGCATCTAGGAACACACTTTTGTAGAACCATATTTTAGCAAGTCTATAAATTCTACTGGAATCTGATAGTACTTAAAGCCTTAGAAGATGGGAGAGAGATTTAGCTATCTAGAAGACAAGCATTTAGTCTCTATCAGTCACCTACTCACTCTAAAAAACCACAACTATCATGTACTTATGATCTTCAAAATAAGAAGGATCAATCACTTGGCCAAAGTTCTTTTTCATAATTATGGAGTAGATTTGGGCAACTCAGTTTACACTAGTTAGCTGGCTTTTGAGGTTAAACCTGTGTGAACTGAATCCCAACACAAATGTCTTCAGAGTTCAGTTTACACCCAGTTTGTGATGATTTCAAAATGACCTTCCAACAACCATTCAACCAAAGATAAGATTACTTGTGAGGGCTGAAAGCCCTCACAGACATCCATGAGCAACCTCACCTCCCCAGTTGCTCTGGGTTCAACCCACTTATAAACCAGCTTAATCCTCTAAGGTCACTTACCCGTGGTTTAATGAGAGCCATGATGGCACATTCAGATGGAGACTCTGCAGCTGGATTCCATGAACTATGAAATGCTACAGGGCACCATCCCAACAAACCTCTCCCCATGGCTGTCTCTGTACAACCACTGCTGAATAACTTGTTTATCTGGCTAGCAAATAAAATGCACTGCATTTCCCAAATATCTTAGGTGCTTCAAATCCCTGTATTTAAGAGGGACAACTTAAACAATAACATTGGAAGTCTGTCACTACAAAGCTATGGAAGTTCACAGGCTTTTCTGGAAGCAAGGAATAAAAGTTGAAACTCTGGATATAGGATATTCCTCATCTTCCACTCCAGCAAGCAATAACAACTACTTTCCACCCACTCTGTCATTTCCTAATGCCTACCACTACATCCAGAGATATAATTTAGCTTGATGTTTCTGTTTAAATTCTGGTTCTTGTCACTTATCATTCCAAATATCTTCATGAGGCAACAAAGCAAGGAAATGAAGGAGGAGTTCATCCTTTTCTTCAGAGTTATTTTTCGAAACCATTTATAGGTCCTGTTCAGCCCAATCAATTTACTGGCTATAATCAAAAGATGGTGTATAATTTTTCTTCATAGTTCTTAAGGAACCAGCAGCGCCACTTGGCCTAAGAGCAAAATACTAAAAATCTGGAGCATTTTTGCAGCAAAGGAAAGAACAACTTATACGGATTAATAGTAATTTTGTACTAAGACACACAAATGGGGCTGTGCATAGCCAAAAGAAAGCACTAAAAGGACTAGTAATTTAGGGCTTTCTAAACAGCAAGCATTGTGGACAGAAACTGTATCCTACCTTGTACATTCAAACAGTCAATAAATACTTTTTCCACCAATAACATTCACCCTTACAAAATCCCATTATCCTCTAAGGAAACTGGTGAGTTACTCCGTTACTCTCCTCTAGCAGCACTTGACTCAAACGCTGGGACAACATCCTCATACGGTTTCAGAAGACAAACAGCATAACTATAAAATCCCCTCTTTCATTGATAGGTGACATCCACTAAACCAAAAAAATGCAAAATTGCATCTAGCAATATAACAGAGGAAATTCTATCCCCTATGTGTTTCATTTACGAGAAAAGCCATATTTGTTTTGTAACACCCAAGCTTAACAACCCTTCCTAAAATAAGAGTTGCGTAGAGGTCGGTTTCATTTTAAGCTCTTGCCCTGCAATAACCTTCTACTGATCAAATCTTGCATTCAGTTGCACACTTGTCTTGTCAATATGACTGGTAGAATTTGAAGAGAACACTGAGTTCTTCAGGTGTCAATCAGAGTAGGATTTGAAGACGGGGCTTACATGTGTTCCTAAAACACATAATGACCTTCAGATCCTTTGGTTCTTCTGACAGTACTGAGGTAGCAAGGCTTTGGGAAGTTAGGGTAAGTTTTCTTAACTTAAAAAGCATCTTCTTCCTACTTGTAAACTGAAATAAATAATTTGGAATTGCTGAGATATGATGAACATAGTTGCTATAATACCATTTTTGGTCAATTTTCAAAGCAGAGTCACACACTCAATATATCTCCATGGTTCCGTATACTACACAATTCTGCAGCTGCATAAATTGCAACATAATTTTCCTTATTTTTAAATTTGCTGTGTCATTTTTTGAACACTTGAATTCCAATGTATAATTAAGTCTCTCATCCTCACAGTTGCAATGAAAGTCTTCATTATATGAAAGGATGTAAATCAAAATGTAGACAGCTTGATACAATAACTGCAAGAAGAGTAAACCATTCTGCTTGCCCATAAAGTGCATCAGCTTAGACACCCAAATGGAACATTTTAAATGTCAACAATGTTAACCATTTACTACTGATCAAGTTCACCTCAGACTGACCTGGTTTGAAATCACTGCTAGATGCAACAATGCACAGAAAAGTGATAGGAAACAGAATGAGAAGCTAAGAGATCCATAATTTTCAGCCCATTTTTCTCTTTGCCCAAAAGCTGAAGACAGTCTATGTCCACACTGTGATCACTGCAATACAGTCTGAAGATTCAAGTTTTATTTGTCTAGTCTAAGTGCCTGTGAATATCACTGATGCTGCTGCAGAGACCTCAGCACAGTATAACTTCTCTTGCTTCCTGGGAACTGGAAATTTTAAAAATACATCTATGTCAGGGACAACATAAAAGTCACCAGCTACCCCATACTTAAAATGCAAAAGATTTTATAGCTGCACCTTCACAATGCAGATCTTTCCAATGTGAATCAGAGAAAGACAGAAAGATGAAAACTCTCAACAAAAGAAGTTTTTAAAAAATGTCATAGAGTTCACCTCACCTGATATAACCTCTGAAAGTGAGGGTTTGGGATTTTGCTGGGCTTAAACAGGTCCTCAAAAGTTTCTCCATCTTCATAAACCAAATTCATAGAATCAATCAATGAGTCAACAGCAGACAACTGATCCACTAAAGTAGCAATTACATACAAAGAAAAATTAAATACACTTCCAGATGGATGCATTTCTTGAAACAATTTATAAATGAAGATTCGGTTCACAACATGAGATTTTTACCAAGTCATTACATGCCACAGAATACACTGCAGTTTTAGATGTACCAATAAAGACTGTGGATAATGGACAGAATAATAAACCCCTGCTGTATTTAAGGACTACAGTGTAAAGTCATAAAGTCTTTTCTTTTTTTCCCCAAGACCTCAATTATTGTTGTCTTTCTGCTTTAATTTTTTTTTTCTTTTTCAAGATGTTTTCATTTGCAACAGAAGGTTTATAGGCCACTTAGAAAATAAGGAGAACAGTTGGTTTGAAAAACTAAATGGTACAATATAAATTTTTAAAGTTATGACTGCAAATTAACACAGTTCGCAATAGCGAACTACTGCTTTGGTAAGACAGGTTTTAAATTTGTTCTTAAACTGCTGGTTACAGGCAAGAAAATAGAAACTATTTCAGAAACAAACCAGCTATGTATACCCTGATGTGCAGGTGCCCATTCAATGGATCTCATAACAACTGAAAGAAGTAGGAGTGGATTTTAAACTACATCCATTTAGACTCATTGCTGTGCAAAATTCTCAGAACAGTGAGTCAAGTTTTATGTGGCTCAATGTTCTATGGTTCTCCAAAGATGCCCTCCATCTGAATCTGGATACCAGTAAGTGCATAGTTTAATAAACAACACGCCACAGAAAATACAGTCTTTGCCTTTGTGCACTATATTAACAGGCCATACTGCAACTGGCTGCAGGACCAAATTTCACCAATGGAGCGGCTGCCTCTGTTCTAATTCTAGCCTGATAATCACACACTGTAGATCCCACAAGGTTTGGCCATTTAGTCTCACAAATTAGTTCAAAGATCAAAGGATACAGAGGACTAAATCTCAGATCTGTCACAGAGATCCTGTGAGACTGATGATCCCATAACCAGAGCCAAAAGTCATTTAACAGGACAGTTTAAAGGACAGCCTGCAAACTTCAAGTCTGCTGAGCCTGCAACTTAAAGTGGCAAAGCTTTGATACACACTTACACTTCAAGATGACATCACCATAAATGATGCTCAAATGGCTGGGGTTTTTTTCCCAAGGCAAAATAATGACATAACTTATGTTTTCATTGGACAGCCAAATATTCTAACTCTTTTAGAACATCTTAGAAGACAACAAGAAGGTTACTTTTCCAGTTGACCAGCAAATATCTTACCTGTAGGAATGCATTTTTTATTGTTTTTCAAGGATGAAAATATGTACTGTCTGAGGTCTTCCATGTAGGGTAGTTGCACATAGATGAGACACTGAGCAAGAGGAAAGAAGAAACAACTGAGCCTGAAGAAAAAAAATATCTGTATCCCCAGAGTGCCATATCAGGACAATATAAACATAAGAAAAATTTGAAGACCTAATGTTTGTGCATATTAAAATATTTAAATAAAATATTTACTCCTCATTTTTCTACTGGTGGAATAAAGACCTCCCAGGCCATCTGATCCCTTTTTCTTGTGCAGAGTTTCAACCAGCCGTGCTTTAAATAACCCATATATTGGCGCTTTGGGAGGTTTTATCATAGCTTACTGTGTTTCAAAGTCAAAAGCTGGTTTTCGTTTCTTAACATTCACTGCCTCATTTTTTCTTTAGTGAAATACCTCCTCCAGTTCATGCCACCCTAAAAAATTCCTTTCTATCCTTTATGTTTATAACTTTCAAAAGTCTGAAGATTGTTGTGTCCGCCCCCACCTCCGTCACTGCTCAGCCATATACATATTTAGCTCTTTCAATAGTCTCTCGTAACTAAGATCAGTTGAAACATATGCTCCAAAAAAATTCTGACATACTGTGTTGCTTCTGGGTCTCTCAGAAGGCTCTCTGCAGAAGGGTAAGAGTGAAAAATTACCTCATATGCTTCCTTAATATATGGAAAAGCTACTCCAATTTGCGGGTTGCTCCTTCTATCATAAGCATAGCGCACGATAGCTACCACTTTCAACTCATCCAGTGCACGAACAAGGGCAGAAAAAGCAACTGCTGCATTCTAGGGGGGAAAAAAAAAAGAGGCAACAGAATCATGCAAGTTCTTATTCATCTGCTGAAAGACATCTTTCACAGTGAATTTAAAAGCACTTATTTAGTCAAGACTAGTTCCCGTTTCAGCTGTAACTTGAACACAAGCATTTTTCACGTTCAAAAACTGAAGAAGCAGAAAGGTCAAATCTCATCCTGATAGTGGATCCATTCAAAGCTGAGTAAACTTCAGATCCAGCACATTCCACCTTTTTCACCAGAAGAAGAAGAGCTCTCAGAAGTATTACAAGAGAAAGAGAAAGGGAAGGAAGTCAGACTCTGAAAGGTACTCATTAAAAGCACCACAGTGAGCCTTTTACCCACAATACTTAAAATAATTTGGAGGTCTGTTCTAAATAACACAGAACAGGACACACTGTTGCTCTACAGGAGAATGGACTTAAGCACCAATTTCAGGTTCCACATGCTCTTGCACAAACATAATATCTACCAGTTGCTCATTATTCATGAGATGCTGTATTCATTTGGGGTCTAATCCAACTTATTTTCATTCTAATGAGCAATGGAACAAGACTTCTGTAAGTTGCATTAAAAGTATTTATTAATGCAGAAAGACAGGACAATCTCAAGCGCCACTACTATTCTTCTATTCCACAGCAAAATACCTTCAGCATTTAAACAGCATTAAACTTCAGTTCACCTTACCTCATCACCTTTTGCTGCAAAGACCTTCAGAACCTGGTTGCCCATGTAGTAATGTCTCTGGATCTAGATACAAATGGCCAAAAGTTAGCCTGATGTAAAGAAAATGTCACTAATGCAACTGGACCAATTAAATTACAAAACAACTAACATCAAATTTTGTGGCTTCTTGAATAATTACTGTGCACAGAGGTTAAAGCCCTGTATGTTAAAGCCCTGTAAGCCCATATCTCCGTTTATCACATAACATGATATTCAATCATATTGGGCAGGATATTCTTATACCTTCCTACTGATGGGCAGGAATGAAAGACTGTGGTACCTGCAGCTGTTACCAGTCTGAATAATACTGCAGTAATTCAAAGGTCAATGTGAAAAACCACAGTAGTTAATACAAGACCTAAACCCAAATGACACCATATCTATGCTATTCATTTTTTCTAGTAAAGATACTTCAAAAAGGAGCTGAAAAAAGTCGCATCCTTAATTAATAAACCTACTTTGACAGCAACCTGGAGTAATATATAGCTGTGCTGGCAAAGAAGCACTTCTGTTAGCAGAGTTTATTCTGTTCATGAACATGGCTGGCCCAGAAACAAATAAACAAAAAATAGTTTCATGAAGGGACATCACTGGCATAGTTGTAGCTACAAGCACAGATACCCTGCAAGAGTGGAAAACTTGTCACAATGACTGCAGAGTACTATGAACACTGGTTAAAATGACCTCTCTCTGTTAAAGAAAAAATTCTTCAAATTACAGTCTCAAAACTAACTTCATTATATTTTTTCTTTTTTTAAAAATTTTTTTCATTCATCTTTTTATTATATCATCTTTATTTAGCAAATTACTGTAAGTTTGTTGAAGTCACTGACAACTTGCACCAGAGCAGACCTATTTAGTGTTACAGCATGATTCTTCAGCTCAAATTATTCTACCTACAATCATTCTCTGCTTTCTGTCTTTAAAAGCTAAGGAAATTTTATGTTCAGTATAGCATAAATAAAACACTTGAAGAAAAGCACCAAGATCAGTGTTTACAGAGCCATAGTGCTGTCTACTCTTTTATATGGTTCCGAATCATGGGTCATCTACCGCCACCACCTGCGTCTCCTAGAACGCTTCCATCAACGCTGCCTCCGTACAATCCTTAACATCCATTGGTCAGACTATGTGACCAATACATCTGTTCTCGAACAGGCAGCAATTACGAGTATTGAGGCCATGTTACTGAGAACGCAACTGCGATGGGCAGGGCACGTCTCCAGGATGAAGGACCACCGCCTCCCTAAGATCCTGCTCTATGGTGAACTTGCCACTGGCTGCCGCAAGAGAGGAGCTCCAAAGAAAAGATACAAGGACTCCCTGAAGCAACAACTCAGCCTCGGGCATATTGATCACCATAACTGGTCCACTCTGGCCTCTAATCGGGAGGCCTGGAGACAGACCATTTATAACGCTGCTGATGCTTTTGAGAAAGCACGCAGGATCACTCTTGAGGAGAAAAGACAACGCAGAAAGAATCGAACCTTGCAGAATATACCATCTAAGGAGTCTTTCTGCTGTGTCTTTTGCAACCGGACTTGCCTTTCTCGTATTGGCCTTTTTAGCCACCAACGCGCTTGCATGAAAAATGGGTAGAGCCCTTCCCAAATCTTCGTTCGCGAAGCCTAGCCATGATAGCATAAATAACTAGATGGGTGTATCACTACACCTTTTTTGTTTGCAAAAAAAAAACTTGTCCCTTTGTAACATTTTCAAGTATTATTTCTCAATTTACATGGCACGGCTTATAAATTAAAAATCAAAGTTTAAGCGCCCTCTGATCTTCTTTCCTGAGGGATGTGAATAACTCAGGAAAATAATATGAGGTGGTTCTATTTCTTCTTTAATTATGTATTTGGAGCTGTTCCAGTTTTTCTAGTTAATAATAAATTATCTTTTCTCCTAAGTTTTAAAAAGAAACAATTTTTATAAAACATATAGTTGAATAGTGTCAGTTTTATGATTCCAAACAATAAAATGTAGAAGCCAAAACTTAGTGAAAGCATAGGTCTTGAAAATTCCAGTTTTAGTCAAAAAGTTCCTGATATCATTATCTATACACTTAAATTTTAATTCTGCAATCACACCTGAATAATTTTATTCCACTGAGTTATATGCTTCTACTATTGGTCTTAACTACTCATACTCCCAGCTCCAGGACCAGAGCACACTTTAAGATATAATTTCTATTCATTATGAAATCCACAGACAAGAAAAGTACATACTAATCAAAAGCAACCAATATTTTATGCATTGAAAAATAATAAAACCAAATTGTTAATTCTTCGATGCATATTTATGTGAATCAAAAATATTCCTAAAATTGATGGTATTCCTACAGTTATTAACTATGTAGTTGGAGGTATTACTGCACTATCTGACCAATGGTGGGAAAACAAAAACCCATGTGAAATAACAGCTCACTTACAGGAGCATGATTTACCTCATCTGCTTCACTCTTAGTTCCCATTTTCAATAAAAGTCAGATTTCAAGTCAAAAGAAGAGGCCAGCCTCCAGTGTAAGAAAACTCTGCCCATGGTGAAATACATCTTAGAGAATTAAATGAAGACAATAAGACTAAGCTGTAGGCTAATGACGTATGAAGAGATGCAAGAAACTGCCTCATTGAAACCCTGGATTCAGACACATTTCCCTTGTTAGATCCAGTTTCTGGTGCAGGATGGAGCAGTTCTCAACACTTGTCTGGCTCTGGCCAATTTAGGGCACATAAGCTCAAGCCCGACATGTTTCCTCCATCAATTACTTGCAGTACACAAGCTCCCGTGTTTCTTAACAACTAAGTTCTCAAAGTCCTCAAGGAACAATCAGGTTACACTTTCCATTTAGGCTGGCTTTGCATTTCAATAAATCAACGTAATTTTCTAGCTTCTCAGTTAATAATATGTTTTTTGACACTGCACTGCAGTAGTCCAAGCACACATCCAGCAACACGCAGGAGTCTCTGTGCCAAACGTACTGTAAAGTAAAAACATGTTTAGTTACACCTGTTTGGGAGTAAGCTCCCTCAGACACTTCCTATTTCATTAGCATATTTCCTTCCTGGTAAAGGTAATGATTCCTCAGCCTTTATCAAGGATTCTATTTTGTTCAGGCATTGAGACATGTCAAAGAGCAGGAGGGCTGGGAGCTGTCAAAACAGAAGTGTAGAGCTGCCCTATGATTTCATTTTAGTTTTGGTTGGTGAAGAGAACTGGGTGCAGATAACTCCAAGAAGAGTAAAGTTTCAGTCACCTTGTGCTGAAATACCCAGGAGAAAAAAAGAGAGGGAGCAGCTAACATTGCCAGCAATTACTTGGTATTCACATCTCTGTACTTTCTCCACATGTGTCCTGCTTCAAGAAAAGTTTTGTTAAGCCTTTGTCTAAGGCTTTCCTAATTCTTAAGTCCTGGATTTCCTGCAGAAAATCACCTTGTGCTGGATAACTTTTATTAAGGTACTTGCTCAATGTAAGTTTCTTACAATTGTCAGGGAAAAAGAATAGCAAAGTCAATACCCCAAGTACAGGTAAGTGCATACAAACACCAAGCATCTCATGGAAATATGGAGAGTTTTTGAATGATATTATCTTTGTCTAAGTTCTAAGAAGTCTTCACGACATTTAGGGGTTTTTTTAATGGTAGAAACAAGAAGAAAGTTACAGTTCACAAACTAATCCTTATGAAACTGAGGATGAATGAATGGACTCAGTTCTCACATTTTCTTTAACAATAATGTTAAGGGAGCAGCTTCTTCTGTTAAAAAGAAGCCACACTCATGGCTGGACAAAGCGAAAGGATGCTGCATGAGCTGAACAGAAGACAGACCATGTTCTGCTGCAGGTCTGGCACCAGCATTTAAGTTTGTGAGATGAAATGAGACCACAATACCTCAATCTTCACTTTGCAGAGATCTGAGTTCAGTGGCTCTGGCTTCATTTGAGGGTCCAATAGTCACATCTATGAGCTTCGCTCCTTCACAAGACCACATACTGCTTACATGCACTAGACTCAGCAAGTAAGTCACCCCTGCATACCTGACTGTAAATGTCCAATTCCAAGTACTGAAACCCAGTACAATACCTTGACTTTAGTGAATTCAAAGCAAAATCAATTGTATTGAATAACCCAGGAAGTTGAATAGGAAGAAATTTAGTACCATACCTGAGACGATCTAGTGAATCCCAAAACAGAAAAACATTTTCCTTCTGTTTTGTATTTCATTTGCTCTTCATCTTCCTTGGAAAAAGGAACTATATCGCTCCCATACCGAAAACCTGGAGAACAAGAGAAGAGCATCTGGTAAGCATATGGGCCTACAATTTTAAACACCAAAATTAGCTCTCTGAATATTTTAACAATGCATTCATGCCCCACAGCTACGTTCCACACATGCTCATCAAATTACTTTCCCTGTTAACAAAAAAAACACACACCCATATACACATTTTGTACTTCATGAACAGCAGTTGCACTCCTTGTACATCATTTTATGTAACACAAGAACCCTCAGAGAGCAGGAAAGAAAATAAGGGAACCGAACATCTTGCCCAAAGTTACGCTCACAGAATAGATTTCAGCAAACAGATTGCAACACTCCCTGCAAATATAATATGAAAAACTTCAAACATACCACAAATCATACCACAGGAGATGATACCTGAAAAGATTCAGGGAATAAAATGTATTAACACTGGAAGCAAAATACACCCTTACACAACGGAAAACCAAATCACTCTTGTATGCAGAACTGGTCTTTCTGCACATTTCTGTGTTTTACTTCCCATGCCTTATATCACAGGCATATCTCCACTAAGCAGGAAGCTGTAATTTCTCAGAGGTATCATCTCTTCCAACTGCTTATTCCCCTACCTCAAGTTGCAATATCCTCACTGTAACATCATCACTTTATTATACTGCCACATACTAAGAATGATATCCTCAGGTGCGAGGAAAGCAGAAGGAACAGAGGTAAATCCCTGGAGGAAAAACCTACAAGCAGATATATTTTCCTGCAAACTGAAAAGCAATCACACAGGCAGAATGAAAGAAATTTTACTATGGGTGCTGCAAATACAAAGGATTCTCTAATTATGACATTTCTCAAAAGATCTGCAAAAGTCCAGGAGGCATCAGCAGCTCTTAAATCATAAAAAATATCACACCACTGACAGGGAAATTTTTGGCCTCTTTTGTTCACACTAAACTTTCATAACTTCTTTTTTACTACTATCCCACAACTACTTACTAACATAAGCAGTCAGCAGATTAACTGAGAACAGTAACAAGAGCTTCAAAATATATTCACTATAAGAAGTGGATTTTTTTTTATACATAGTTTTGAAGTTATAAAACATAAATAGACTATTAGCTTTTAACTATCATTTCCACTTAAAGAAAATCACACTGTCATTGGGACTTTATCTGATTCTGCTACAAAACACCTCCATGAATAGTACAATTGAAAAAGATTAAACAAAAAACCCCAGTATTTATCTTAATTTTCAATTTATATTATTTATTTGACAGCACTTTCTATACTGTTATCTGAATAGTTCTGCCCTTTATAGTTAATATACTTGCCCTACTTGTGTAGGATTCAAACAGCAAAGGAAAGGAAAAAAACTAGTAACAGAATACATCTACACAATTGCAAAAAATTAAACTGATTTGCTTAACTCCATTTTTAAAAAAAAGTACATATTTCCTGCTGTTTCTGGGGCCTTAGTCTTCTAAGGAAATTAATCTGCTTAGAAAGAAGCTGTAGGTTCTAAGAGAAGTGTTCTGCATACCACTACTTCAGATTGAACCTCTTAAAGCTAAAAGACTCTTGAACACTAAACCTTCCTTTGATGGTTTCATCTTTCCAATTGCAGAATAACTAGAGCAGTTGCTCATCTAGAAAAAAGCAGTGCTATGGAAGCATTTGCATTATCAGTACAGCTGGAGATCTGAAAACAGAACAGAGGTAGCAGCACTACTCACTACAAAACTGAGGTATGGACCTCCACAGAGTATAGTTTAGGAAGTTGTAGTGCCCCCCAAGTTCCAGCTGGTGGTATTACTATTATTCCTAATACTGGCAAAAGTAAGAATTTCTAAAATATGTGAAGACAAAGAGTGTCACATAACAGTTGCTGTGTTCCATCAGCCTGCAGAGTCTACATTCTAAGATCACAGCTAGGCATCAAGGTATAAACTAAAAGGCACTCAGGTGACTTAAGAGTACAAGCCATTATCTTAAGTTTGTCTTCAGGGTGCACATAAAGATGTTGTACCTTGAATAGTATCATCTTTCTGAACCTCTGTCTCATCATCATCATTCAAGCAGTAAACAGTTTCTTTCTGCACATCATCTCTTCTAAGGGTTTTAGCATCCACAACTGTCCAAACTTTTTTCACCTTCTCTTCTGTGACCTTGATAACAGAATTCAAAGAAAAGGAATGTTTAACATTTCAGTGGGATACAGAGTACTTACCAGAAAAGGAAAAAAAAAATAAAAATCTCAAGCACAGTGCTGCACTGTTTTGCCAATAAGGGACCAATAATGACAGCCCCAAATATGCATCTCTGGCTGCTACCACAGTGCTTCCACCACACTGTTTCATCTGTATGAGACCTAACACATGAACTGCAGCATATTGACTGCATATTTCTCTTGGTTGTTCATTAAACCCCTAGATTAAGTCATTTGTGGAAGTCTAAGTCACAGGATAACATGTAACTTGCTTGTTATGTATTTTACTTCCTATAGCCCTTTCTTTTCTCTCTACTTAAGTGCAATTGATGGTACAGTTAGTGCATGAGAAGAAAAGTGTAGAATAGGCAGAAACAGTAAAGACAGAATAGATTACGTCAGCATGGCTGCTGTATGACCTCAGGCCAGTCACTCAGTTCATGTTGCTTACTCTCCTAAACAGTTTACTTTCTGTGTAAGAACCTGTGGGAGGGGACTCTTTCTGCATATTTGAACAGGTCTGGCACAATAGCCTAATAAAAAACTATGAATAAGTATAAATAGAAAGCTGATCTCTTTCAAGGCTAGTATGCTTATCTGTGAGAAATCAGATATATTTCAACTTATATACCAGACTCCTAGTCCTGGGTTCAAATAACAAGCCAATTAATCTCCATCTCACCAGATCCAGCAATACTACCACAGTATATAGTTACCTATTAACTATTCTATAACTCAAAATTTACATGTTTTATGTGTTTAATTACACTTACTTCTTCCTAGCACTGTGTGAAGAACCCATATAAAATGTAAAGGAAACAGACTGGGCCCAAGCTCCACCAAACAGTACAAGAAAAACAAGCTGAAAAAATACACCTCTTTTTTTCCAAGTCTGAAATAACAAGAGATAGGATTTGAAACAATAGCTGGTAAAACATTTTAAGCCACCATTTTACGTACCCATGTGCAAAATTCCTCTCATGCCTGGGCCTAAAGAGATATATATGTCTCACTGGAGCTGCAGACGTATCAGTGATGCTGAATGTAAAGCTTCAACAATCACAGCATTCTTAATCAGGTTCATTGACTTCAATACCATTAAGTGTCACAGCGTAGACAGCAATTACTTCTATTTCTGTACATTGTAAATTTTAGTTATTTAACATGTATACAATATGGTGAAGTTAAAGTTGCTGTGGGAACCACAGTTTTAGATGTACTGGCTTCTAAGCACATAGAAATCTCTACCCTAATTATCTGGTTGTTGTTTTACCTTTTATTTTCTTAACTTTAAGGAAAAAAAGATGCAGCAGCACCTAACTTGCTGCCAAATTACATTAAAATATATGATTTTATGAACTTACTGCTTTGTAGGCCACAATCCTTATGGACAGATTAGAACCAATAGTGAGCTGGCAAGGCCAAGGCATAGGCCTTCTTTCTAATTTCTTAAACATTGAAAGACGTTCCAGACTCTCTCTAAAGGAAGGAATCAGGAAAACAAATGAACTCTGGTGAACTGTAATAAAATATTATAGACAATACACTCTCTTTAAAGAAATGCATAAATCCAACTGTTTCAGCTTAGACTGCATTAAGCGTTAGAAAACAGACTGTACCATTAAACATTGTCACATAAACGTTGTCACAAAAGAGAATGAAAAAAGAGGTGGTGCAGTAGATTATACCCATGTTGAGCCTTTATGGTGGGTGGTGTGACATTAAGGCTTAAAGACGCTGTGTTAAGTCTTGTGGTGAAACTACACAATTGCTTACTAAGCATCTTACATTTATCTGTGCTCACCCAATTAGGACATGTAGCTAAAACTGAAGAACACAAATTAGAAAAAGGTCTCTAAGTGGTAAAATGTTTTCTACAGTGAAGGTGAAGAATCCAGGTTCAAGTACAAGGATTTTGTTTCTGTAGAACTTAACTTTTGACACTTTTTTAAATACAGTAGTAATGAACTCATTATTTTAAGGGCATTTTGTCAGAATGAAAGAAATTACTTTGACTATTTCTAGTCCAATCAGCAGATATTCAAGTTCAAAAAACACACAAAAAAAAGAACTGTAATGATTTTATACTAAAAAGTGTTAACTTAATTACACAACTTTAAGTAATGGAGTCCAAGAATTAAAAATTTACAGTACTTTATAATATATCATTGTGAATTCAAATAGGTTGACACCCCAGAACAGCTTTCAGCTCATACAAACTATATTGGTTATTTTGCTCTAAAATTCCAACACAAAGAAAGCTCTCAAATTTTTTTATTGCATGAAGCACAGCACAATGCTGACCTCAACTTTTTCACATGATGATAAAACCCGAAATCTACCTCTCTCTTGATTAAAGCACTTCTCTGGCAGAAATCAAGATCAACTGCCAAAAACACCAGTACAAAATTCATTCTACTTTTCAGGTTTCTTAGGATGAGCAGGGTTTTTTTTAAATTCTAACAGAACCACAATGAAAGGGGAAAATGCACTGGGATTTTTATAATGAGATAAATACTGAATTTCCTCTTTTATTTTTTTTCCTTAGGGAAAGGAAGAAAGGGAGGATTTTTTTTTTCTAGCAATAAAGACGCCAATATAGGATTTTTAAAAATAATCTGTTACTACATCATTAAAAGTACTGCAACACATAGATTCCAGGATCAATGTGAAAATCAAATACGTAAGTGCCAAATGCCTAAAAATGTCATTTAAGCTCAATTGATTAACTCTATCCTTTAATTTCTTATAGAAGAAAAATGCTGCCTGTTATCAAAGACAGCTCATAAAAATCAAGCCCTAGTAAATGTACATTCAACTTGTATTTTAAGAACATGTTCCTTGTCCTCTGCTCTCCATTCCCTTCCCCCAGAGGCAGGGGATATTCCTGTCCAGAATATCACAACCTTAAAAAAATCACAACAAAATTTCCTCACTTACTTTCCTGGCATGGCTAATTTATTTTTACAAGTGTTGAAATATTTTTACCAGCAGGAATAATAACTCTTGGAAAACAAAGAGTGTATCTGAGTTGGTCAATTATCATGACAGGTTTGCAAAGCTGGCTTCTTAAAGCTCGATAAGCAACTTAATTGCATCTAAAACCTCACATATCCTTAAACAACTTTTTCAACTAAAGCTTTGATCTATTAGCCAAATGCCTATTTATCCAGAGATTTTGGATTTCCCCTGGAAGTATGGCACAAAAACAGCTTATACAGCAGCAACAGCCTGGGATAAAAAAAGTATAAAGAAGAGGCCAAGCCACATGGTAGCTTCATGCATATGGATTATCCTAAAGGATAAACGGTCCAGGAAAGATACCAATTTTCTGCGCAGTCTTTTGATGCAATGACAAAGCCTGCTTTTTTCTACAGACTCAGACTGTTCTCTTGACTAGAATGGAACACTTATACAGCGATACATATTCTTCACTAATGCACAGTAATGCTCAAGTAGCAGTTTAACTGGCTGCTGAGGTACAAAGCCCATCAGCTGAGCTGGGTGAGGAAAGGAAACCCCACAAATAAAATGATGAATAACAGCATGCAAACCTACAGGTACCACCCTCATGTAAAAATTACATTGGATAATCACATTACAGCTATGGTCTGCTGAGCTTCCTGTGGTCTAAAAGACCACACTTCATAACTGCAGAAAAGAAACTAAGTCAGTAACATCAAACTTCAATAAGGCATGTAGATGCATTTTGCCTGTTGCCCAACTGAGACAACACCTATGTGGAGAAGTCTTGGATATATCATTAGCTATATTTTTTCCAGAAACACACATAAATTTTTATTCTTTCATTGGGGAAACAAGAAGTGAAAAATCATCTTTTAATTCTTGCATTAGGAATGCTGCTGAAAAAGTGTATTGTTTGTCACAGTGGCACAGCAGACTGTGGTTAGAGAGCAGGATTCAACAAACAACATTACTCAAAACATTTGTGGGAGTTTATCAAGCCAGTGAGGTAAAAGAAGTCTGAGACCAAGGAACACAGGCAACCATTAAATGCAAATGTTCTAGCTGTACTATGTCACAAATTTCATCTCTTTCCATAACATGCTTTTGAAATGTCATATATATAAACATTACCTCCAAAATCTTCCAACAATAAAGATGGAAGAAAACCGGCTTTTTCTTTAAATATAGATATAGAAAATTCATTTTCCTCTGAAATCTGTAAGCTCTTCTACTTATTCTAAAGCTACTGAAGAAGCTGTATGAAAGGGACTAAGTGTACAATAAGTTATAAAATTCGCTGACTTCAGTGAAACAGTAAGTCAAGGGACTGATTACTTAATTAATTTCATCTTTCAGAGAAGAAATCAGAAAGTAAATTTATAGTACAATAAATAGGATTAGCCAAGTTTACCTGAAAGTATAAATTTCTTCCAGCCCTCCTTCTTCATCCAAAGTATGCATGAGTTTCCTCACCACATCAATACCTTGTTTCTGTTGTTCAGTTAAACTCTTTATTGGAAATGAGTTTCTGTGTATATGAGAATGTACACTGCCAATTGTATCTCCACTTCCATCATCAATAACCACTTGAAATGGTAGACTAAGAACACAAGCAGAGCAGTTAGTTTGATTTTTTCTTTATTAAAATAACCAATCAAAACAAAACAAAATTTTTATCAGGATCAATAATTCTATTTAGCTGCAGTCAGATGTATAAAGAGCCACATGGCTCAGAAAACAAATGAAGTAGTATTTTGAGTCTAGTTGGCATTGGTAACATCTTGACCAGAGTGATGCACCATTTCTGGGTATCATGCATCAATAAAGACATCCACATACAGGAATGGATTAGATAGTAAAGTTAATGCTCATTAGAAACCAAGATCTATGAAAAAAGATTCAACAAAATAAAGCCCATAGAGAAGTGAATCAGATGGCAAGACAGCCTTACATACAAAAGGCTGTTGCAGAGAAGAAGGAAACAATGAGTTCTTCATATTCAGCCTGCACTGCAATCACATCATGGAGTCAGGTCACATATTCAGAAACCTCATAAAGGTATTTCAAACCATAATCTCTAAAATCAACTGCCTGAGGAGAGAAAAGAGTCTCCACTCTCACGGCAAATCTTTACCGGAAGATTAGACAAACACTGGTCAGTGATGACATGCATACAGCTGACCCAGTCTGAAGTAGAGGATTGCTCTAGATGACTTGTTAAAGGCCATTTCAGGCCTGTGATTCTGTATTGGCTCCAAATGCCAGCAAATGGGACGTTCTCTGCAGTGAGGCTATTGGGTATTTCTGGAATAAATGTTACTCTTTGAGATTTTAATAGCTTACAACACTGGGTGAATTTAAGATGACACATTTTCCTGCACTTCATGAATCAGACTTAAAAATTTAGCCAGGGGTTATAGATAAAATGATTTTGCTGCTCTTCAAAATACAGGAGAGTTAACTAGGTATAATAAACACAGAAAAGAAAGATGTGTAAGATCCTCTACTCTGTGCCCCTCATAACGCCTGCAGATTTTTCAAGTCTTTTATCTGATTCAATTTTGAATGAACCACATGATGCCTTTTAGCACATTTCCACAAAGTAAAATAACTTTACCACTGTATTATGTTTTCAAAAAAGCAGCCTACAGATCTTTACCATACTGCCACCTCATTAGTCCTCACAAAACTTATCCATCAAGAAACATAATAAGCAGAGTTAACAATACACACAACAATGTCACATAGAGCAAAATTAAAGATCAAGCTTCAGCAAAGTGTTAGGTACCTTTTCAGGAAGCAGCATGCACTGATAAATAGAGAAACTGTATTTTAAAGCTATTATAACAGCAAAAAGTTTCAAACCTCTGATACATAAAAGTTAGGCTACTTTCACTATACAATGCCTAGAGACTACTGTGATGAGAAATACATAATGCCCAACCCTCCACAGTGCTCAGCGTGTGCTTGACACCTGATAACAGGGAGGAAAAACAACAATCTGCCAGAAGTTACAACCTAATCTATAAACAGGGCATAAGAGATGGAAGCATGGGCTATAACAAAATGACAAGGTTCAGCAAGAAATTATTTTTAAACTAGTATTTTGAGTATTTTACATTTGTACATGTATTTCTTAAATTATCCTTTGCTCGTGTGGCTGGGAAATAGTGTGTAAATCTGCAGCCAGTGTTATAACAGCAACATTTCCCTTGAGCTTCTCTTAGCCAAGGGGTTTTTTCTTTGCTACGTTACAAAGAAAATGTAAAGATGTATCAGAAATCTCACAGAAAAAAACTGCGACATTAACTTGTGGTATCAGCATCTGTGCTAGCCTGCACAGCAAACAGGTATGGAAATAAGGGAGCAGGAGCTAAATACCAGGTCTCCAAAAGATGTACTCTGACTGGCTGGAGGATTCACGGTGTTGCACCTTGCCATGGTTTGAGATTGCCCCCCCCCTTGAGAAGAGGGGGACTCAGAGGTGATTGGGTGCCAGGGCAGTGTTCCCTGAAGAGCCAATCACCACTCATGTTGTTCACTTCTGCTCAAAAATCATATATTCACAGCACCAGAAGTGGTTGGCAAGTTCTGTGTTGGCACTTGGGCTCTTGGTGTCTGCTGCGTGTAGGTGTGGAAGGCCAGGGGGTGGCTGGGCTCCTTCTTCCCCCTCTGGGGGGAGAGGGGAGCCCTGTGGCCCCCCCAGCTCTGCCTAGCCCAGAGCAGAGTTAGAGGCAGCATTTTGAGTGTGTGCAGTGAGGGAAGAGACTCACGTGAGCACCTGAACCTGACTTGAGGTAAGAGGAGAGAGGCAGGCTTTTGTAGCCAAGCCTTCTCCCCCCTCCTTTTCTACAGCTAAGCTGTGGAGGGGGGCTTTTCCTTTCCCTCCGCTGGAAAGTGGAGGAGAGGCTCAGCATTGAAGCTGAGCCAAGTGGACGGGCTGTGGAGGTAGGCCCGGTGCTCGGGAAAAGGGTCCCAAGCGAAATTGGAGACGGACTCCCCAGAGAGAGAGAGAAACGGGGCCCGGAGGATGTCTCTGCCATGCAGGACAACCGAAAACCTGAGGAGAAATCCACATGCCAGGATGTGGACACTTGATAAGCAGAACCACACTGCAGCAGCCTACGAATCAAGGGATGAGAGAGAGAGAGAGAGAGATCGCACAGCGGCAGGAGAGCAAGGACTCAGAGCTATCTTCCTGGACTTCATGAGGAGGAGAGACTACAACAAAACAACTGGAACTTGGTGAGGGGGGAGCGTTCAGGCCCAGAACACTCCCACAGAGGGACTGGTTACTTTCCAGCCTTGAAAAGGCTCTTTCCTGGACTAAACTTAAAGGAGGGGCTTGAAAGGACTGATTGATAGAGATGTAATATATATATAGTTGTCTTTAGCTTGTATAGTATTTATTTGTGTAAATAAATGTATATATATTTCCCCCTTTACCTATAGAAGTCTCTGACCTGAAAGTTTCTCTTCAGTAGTGTTGGGATGATTGTGGGAGGGGGTGGAGAAGCCTGAAAATTGGATTTTTAGATTTCTAACGCGGCTCGAACTGCCACACACCTCCACTGCCTCCAGTGCCAAAAAAGGCTCAAATGAGCAGCAGGGTCATGTCAAGGCACATTACAAGCACACCTGCTTTTGCTGCATAGACAGAACCTGACATTCTTACTTTCAACCTCCCCTAAGCACAGGCAAAAAAAGATTTTTTATGGAGGATCAGTCCATGATTTTCAGTCATGTTTTTCTACGTAATCTCTCTGTTACCTTGCAGATGGGTTGGCAAATGGCTTCAACGAATTTACTAAGTTCAAGCATTCTTCCTTGCAGAACGCTGGATCTAGGTAAAAGTAAATACTAAACTGGCCGTAAGTAAAACTACAGCTTTAACTTTCTCCTGTGAAATTATTTGTTATAAACAGCAAACATTAACATTCACACGGAGTTTTGCTTTTAAACAAATTTCTCCAGAAGGCCTATGGCTTCCTATGTTACCATCACATGCAACAGCTAATACAGATCTCAGCACCAACACTGAATCTTCAGATCAATGCCCATACCATGACAATCAAGGGACTCCTGCTATAACACGTAAGACATTGTTTTCATTTTCCAAGCCCATTGTTGTGAATAAAACCCTTCTCTTCAGACCTGCTCTTCTACTGACACCAGAATCAGGCTATAAATATCTGCAATATCACCTCATTAATTTTCCCGAGTAACTTCCTTACCTAAAAGGATCTAGGCTGTTGCTGTGATAAACCAACTGTTTCTGAGGCTATTTCTGGCTCATTGTTTCCCCTTTCTCTGCTTATATAGATCTTTTGTCTTCCATTTTAGACTGTGGCTCTAAGCTATAACCATAAGTGGAGAAGAAGCCATCATCTTAACATTTATTTGCACATCACTGAATCAAGAGGACTTGGTCCATAACTGGATTTCATGGCATGTATCATTGATAGAAGTACTTATAATAATCATATTACTTACTGGTACACCTCTACAGAAACCATACACCAACAGATCACCAGCTCTTTCAAGATCATTATTAACAAAGCATAACAGTTTCCCTTTAAAGAAATGGCATCGTGTATAACAGTCACTTTTATACTTACAAGAACTGAAGTGAAATTCCTGTTTTCTTCAAGTTAGCTATGATAATTTCCAGCTGATCCTCACTGACAGGACTACTAAGGTCTGTAAATAGTTCAATGTGTCTCTTCTCATATTTCTTTCCTCTTAAAGTACAATAAAAAATACATATATTGAAAATATTATCTATAAGGCCTTTTGCTAAATATTTCCTTACAAAACTGATGCTTTACCAAAGTAATTAACTTGTAAAAGAAAAAAACCCAAACAAATAAACCTACTTGGTAGTAGCTATTTTATCATAGGTTACCATACTTATGATAGGATTTTTATCTTTATATGATTCTCCTTATTCCCTCCTACCCCCTAAAATTGAGGAGTCTAGCCCTGGGACTGTATAAATCACTAACTACATCTAAATGAGTGGAATTCTGCCAATTTTCACCAATGTAGATAAAATGCTAACAAAATATGTTAGCTTTTTTATTGGTTATACCAGATATTTCCTTTGCAGCTGTAAGTATGTTTTTGTGAAAATGTATTTTAAATTACTGCTGCTGGTGGGGATTCCATTTCAGTACTCTAATTCAGTAGATTCAATGGATAACAGGGACTTTCAAGACCACTTAATACACTAAGAAGTAGTACCAATACACATCAGGAAGGTCTGCCAGTGATAGAACAAAATTCAGTTAAAATGACAGAGTTGTGACCTGCATGTTGTTGCATAAGGGTGATTTTCTTGAATTTTTACCCTACAGTATTTTCTCAGCTGAAGGCAAACTCCATATCAAAGGTTTTAGTATATACAGGTGACTTCCTACAAAACAACAAAACCAGTTGCTCCATAGATATTTAAGGTTATACTGCCGTAAGTACAGTGATTTTAATTCACAACTCAGTTTTAACCATTAAATTGATACAGCTTTCCACAGTGATTAGACCTTATTCACAAAAACACAAATTGCATCACTAAGTCTCACCTTCTGCACTCACAATTAGATCATACAACCTTTTTAGCAACATGTTCAAGCTTTGCTTTGAGAGGAAGTACAGTTACCTTCCTTTCCCTGGACCATTAGTTCACTGAGTGTTAGAAACACATTTCCAGCTCAAATACATTCACTGACAACTTTGTAACACTTGTCTCGATATTTTTTCTCACCTTAAAGTTTTTCATCCTACAAGTTCATTTCCCATAGTCTGCATATTTATAAACTTAAAACCTTACCTCCAACAGGCTTCAAATTACTAGGTTGAACAAAGTCACCTTTCTTGTTTAATTTGTAGCATATGCAATATAAATTTGATAGGTCTTTCCTAAGCATTTTAACATGCGAATTAATGCTTTTTGAAAACAGATTACAAAGAATGTGAGAGAAAGTGAAGCCTTTGTGCCTTCTATAATGGCATTAGTAGTCTCATGACTGTACTACAAAGTTACCAGTTGCCTCAGAAAGCTCTCAGATTGTCTGGGGAAGTCAGATGTCTCATGAGGACTCTTCAGAGATAGACTCCTTAAGTGTGCTGTTTATTTTTAATGTTTGGTTCTTTTAAAAAAGCATTTTCCATATTTACACATACTGGAAATATAATACTGACAATCAGATCAAATCAGCTTCAAAGTGCAAAGTCAGAATCCTGTAAAAGGCTTTGAGTTACATACTCACATTGTTTCCTTCTGAAGCAAGTCCATACACACAATAATTGCATCCAGAACTAAGCAAATTTAAGAAAAACGTCATTTAGAACATGAACCATGTCACAAGTGTTTTTTCTTTGAAACAATGTAATGTTTTCACTCCCCCCCCAAACACTGACAAACGTGCATTTCAGTTAAGGAACACTCTTTTGAGATAAATACTTTTAAAGTGACTACTGTGCAAGAGGTTCCTGTGTAACCTGCCTGTTTTGCAATCTTATTTCTGCCCCATTTACCTGATGAAACAGTGAAAAGACTGCTTCAGGTCCCAATCCTTTAACTGTCAATGAGAGGCTCAAGTCCAATGAAGGAACAATATAATCTTTAGAATGTTCCTTTGAATCCACCAACAAATATATCATACCAATTTCTCCTGCAAGTTTTCCTTCAAACCACCTGTGTCTGACAAACTCTTGATGGTTTCTTCCTCATCACAACTGGGAACATGTGAGCCAGCTGACCGGCTGCACACTTCTCTGAAACAGCTCTGACTACCTGAGTGGAGCTCACAACAATCATTTTATGGCCAGAAAAAGGGAAGAAAACGGAGGAAATTGAACTGTATGTTCCTAAAATGCACAAAGGAACACTATAAAGATCACCTTCTTTTAAAACTCTACACCTCGTGCAACTAACAACAGAATACACTCAAACATGAACAACATTCAAACCAAGAAGTGATTTTGGCAATGTCAGAAGTACTTTATACATTAATCAACCTGATAAATCTCTATTCTGCTTTGTCTGGGGTAGAGTTAATTTTCTTCACAGTAATTGGTATAGGGCTGTGTTTTGGATTTGTGCTGGAAACAGAGATGATAATATAGAGATGTTTTAGTTACTGCTGAGCAGTGTTTGCACAGAGCAAAGGCTTTTTCTGGTTCTTGTACCACACTGCAAGGGAGGAGGATTGGGGGGGACACAAGAAGTGGGAGGAGACACAGCCAGGACAGCTGACCCTAACTGACCAAAGGGATAACCCACACCACACGGCATCATGCTCAGCACATAAAGCTGGGAGAAAGAAGGAGGAAGAGAGGACATTCAGAGTTCTGGTGTTTGTCTTCCTAAGTCTAAAGTCTGATGGAGCCCTGCTTTCCTGGAGATGGTTGAACACCTGCCTGCTCATGGGAAGCAGTGAATTAATTCCTTGTTTTAATCTGCTTGCATGCATGGCTTTTATTTTACCTATTAACCTGTTTTGATCTCAACCCACAGGTTTTCCAGCTTTCACCTTTCCAATTCTCTTGCCATCCTGCTGGTGGAGAGCGAGCGAGTGGCTGCGTGGGGCTGAGCTGCCGGCTGGGCTTAACCCACAACAGTCTGGTTTCTGGTACTTCTGCTGATACATTGCGTAAATAATATTTTTGAGTAAAAAGCATAAACCAAATTCTGCAACGCTATTTTTAAAAACACATGGCTTATTTGAGGCCTAAAAGTATATTTATTATCTTTGTTCTTCTTAATTAGCAGAACACTTCATAAAAGCAATTACTCCCAAAGGCCAAGACTCCATCTGCTAGCCTAAAAGAATGTCAAAAAGCAGCTAATCTGCTTTTGGACAAACTTACAACCACAAATTAGCTTAACTTTGATAGTAGTTAAAACTCAGGAGGCAAATCTGAGCCCATTTCACAACACTGGCCTCCTGTCTCCTATATAGCTGAATTTGTTCAAGAAGTGTTCTACAGCAAAAGGATACAGTCTGCTTGTTCAGAGCCTGCTTTAATCACATCTTGAATGTCTTCCAGCAGATCAAAATCTGGCAGCATTAGTGACCTATGTACAGTAATGTGTTGGTATTGGTCCCCACTGGCAAGGCCATTCCTAGTACCATGAGTGCCAAACAAAACTACAGCGACCTCATCTTTACTCTCAGCAAAAACCTGGAAACACAGAAAATAAAAACCAGGTAAAAAACACAGGTAGATTCATACATAGCTATGTTAGGCAGATTCCAGCAACCTGAACTAATGTCAAATACCATGGATTTACTTTTCCTTACTTTCAGTGCTAGCCTCTCAAAATGTAATCTTACAGGGAGTTCACTAAGCGAGACATAATTCAACTAACAGATTGACATGAGGAGACCTAGGAAAAACAAGTAAAACTGTCTGACTTATTACACAAAATGAGTCTTTAGGGTGGTACATATTAGGAATGTGGGAACATTTTAGAGGAAGAGAATAGTACTTGTTTTCCCTAAAAGTTTCCACTGCCCTGAAGAAAAAGAATGACCAATCCAATCTCATGCACAAAAAATACAGCTGAAACAAAGAGCACTGTTACTCCTGCATAAAAAACAGACTAATTCTTACTCATTTCTCATTTATTTCAACTATTAGTAAGTGAGGAAAATATTTCATAGATGCTATTGCCTCTTCTCCCTTTTTAACAGCCTTTTTTACACATATGAAGTCACACACACCTGTCGTTGCACAAACTTTGTCATAATCTTCTTGGCTTGTTCAAGTGAGGACTCTTCACCAGGGGAAGAATTGCTCATTGTAAAGCCCACATCCAGGCACAGCACTGTTGCCACCTGGAAAGGAAAGACAATACTGAATAAGAATGAAAAAGAGCCAATATAAGCATAATTATTTAAAAGGTACATACAAAACCTGAAAATCAAACTGTATCACTACTGGTTTCTTTTACAGTAACTGTTAATATGACATAATGGTGGAAGACAGAACTGGTATAACTGCATTGAACAGAAAATTATTTAATCCTGTACCTGTTCCAGACATTTGAGTGGAAAATACGAAAAATCCTTCTTTACACCATCTGTCCAGGGGGCAATTTCTGTACAACCCCACAAATGTATTAGGGATCTAAGGGCTCTTCTACACTAGGAAATTAAACAAAGATATTTCAGTTGAAAATTGCAAGGATGAATTCCAATTTCAATTTAGGGGCTTAAATCCCCCAAGCTAGCCTATGTTTTTGTGTTTCTGATCATCACTTTAACTGATTTACACATGACACTGCCCAAATCTTCCCCTAAATTGCTTTATACACCAGTATACGAATACAGTAAAATTGCTTCTTGTAGCTTCTCTTGTTCAAGTCTTGCAAAGTTCCTCTAAAGTTCTTCCAGAGACTCCACTTACCTTGATTAATCTGAATAATTTTATCATCCATCTGAATGTAGTTGGAAGAGGAATTCAGCAAAATTATGTCCAGCACCACCAAGGCTCGCTCAAATTTATTGTCACTGATTAAACCTAGGTTCCCTAAATATACAATAAAATCTTGCTTGGTGGGCTGCCAGTGGCTTAAATTACACTGCCTGCAAAAAATTATTGTTTGGCAGAACACGGGAAAGTTAAGTATTACTTAGATTGTAACCAGTCACCTTCTTTTAAAATACAAAATATATCCAATTCCACAAGAAGCAAAGCTACCAAAAGGACGTGGGCAATAATTTAGAAGACTGTCAAGTGACACAAGATGCACAGTCTGCTTTTGCAAAGCAAAAGGGATGAATGTAAAGAAAAGGTGTTGGTCTAAGCTCTTTTGCATATTGCCTTGCCAGCAATTACAAGTACCTTTTCAAGCATCGACCAAAAGAACATGATACATTGTGCACCTCCCCTGTCAGCTTGACAAACACTGGTTTAACTCCCTGTATCCTCTGAGAACAGGAAGGAGAAGAGAAAGAAAGAAAGAAGGCTGAGAAGCCTGAGTTGTCCAGGAGGTTATACTCAGTCCTGGCACTCTGTTCCTCACTTTGCCTTCACCAGTGGCCTGTCTGGGAGCCAGGAATGAATGCCTCTGGAGTCAGCTAGGTGTGCAGAAGCTCAGAGTGAATAGAGGCAGTTACTGAGGCTGCACTTCACTCTCACAAGAGCCTTGTTGCTGCTTACCTGCCAGCCTGGGGAATTACTCTATCAGCAACTGCGGAGCCTTGTTTTCTTGCTGTCCTGCCTCAGGACACACAAGGGCTGGCAGCTGCATCAATCCTGCTGTCCAAAACAGGTAAAATTCCCTTCACAGCTGGCAAGAAGACAACAAAGAAACCAAAAACAGCGCAGGAGTGAAGAGCTGCTGTTTTGCTTAAGAAAAAAGACGATCAAGTGGCAAGTGCTGACATGCTCTTCTGGGAAGCAGCAAACTCCCAGCTCGGTGCCCATTCAGGTACGTGGAATCCTCCTTCTGTCAAGGGGGAAGAGGAAGAGGAAGGAAGAGGGCCGGCCTCTCTTTTGGTAATCCTCCGTACATCTCTGCATGTTATAACCTCTGTGCTTCTCACCTCCGAGCACCCGGTAATGTCGCGTTCAGGTGACGCTTTTAAGATGCTCAGCACGTGTGTCTGTAGGACAACACTATCACACCTGAGCTAAACCAGCCTGCTTCACTCAAGCTCTAATAAGGGCGGACACGGAACAAACCTGCCTTTATCTCTGATCTCTCCGTGCCGAAGAAGTTAAAATAAAGAGTTATTATAAGAGAGAGATGGCTACAGCAGCACAGACAAAACCTGTGTTAAACACACACAAAACCTGTGTTTAACAGATACTAAACTGCCCTGTATCAGAAGAGACCTTAACGCAGCCTTCACCAGCAGGGTTCCTTAAACATAACAGGCACACAAACCGCATTTTCAACAGGGCAAAAGAAGTTCTACTGTTATTTTAGCAAGAGCAATGGCAATTACTGCTGCAGGAATACTGCATTCCCTTGGAGCTACTCAGCTTCGCACCGGCAGCTCGAAGGGCGGCCGGCGAGGAGTCACCGGAGTGAGGGATGATGTTCCAGCTCCGGCAGCCCCCCGTTCCCCCGCCCAGCCCTCCCCTGCCCTACCTTCCCGCCGGGCGCCATGGCGCTGCTGCCAGGACGCGGTGCGCCGCGCTCAGCGCTCCGCCCGGCAACGAGGCCCCCCGGGAACACGGCGGCGGCGCCTCGCGTTCCGCGGGGGCGGCAGCGCCGCCTGGCGGCGGGATACGGGAGGGCCCCCTCAAAGCGCCACGGCGGCCGCGGCGCTGCCTGTGGGCATAGCGAGCAGCCAAACACAAGCCCAGTTTGGGTGGACTGGGGTCCCCGAGGAGAGGTGGTGGCAGAGCAAGTGTCAGCGCCAGAGGGTCTCCTGTGCTGCCCTGCCCTGGAGCACCTCCCCGCTCACCCATTCCAGTTTAACCACAGCCAACAGCCAAGGCCCCGCAGCTGCTCACTCACTCCCCCACCAGCGGGACGGGGAGAGAGTTGGAAGCGGAAAAGCGGGGAAACTCGTGGGTTGAGATCAAAACAGTTTAACAGGAAAAGCAAAAGCCACACACACAAGCAAAATAAAACCGGTAATTAATTCACTGTTTCCCATGGGCAAGCAGGTGTTCAGCCACCTCCAGGAGAGCAGGGCCCCATCATGGTTACTTGGAAAGATAAATGCCATCACTCCAAATATCCCCCACTTTGTACACTGAGCATGATGTCATATGGTTTGGAACACCCCTCTGATCAGTTTGGGTCACCTGTCCTGGCTGTGTCTCCTCCCAACCTCCTCGCCAGCGTGGCGGTACAAGAAGCAGAAAAGGCCTTGGCTCTGTGTAAGCACTGCTCAGCAATAGCAAAACCATCTCTATATTATCAACCCTGTGTTCAGCACAGATCCAAAGCACAACCCCAAACCAGCCACTGTGAAGAAAATTAACTCTACCCCAGCCAAAACCAGCGCAGCACATCACCCCACAGGGCCTGTCCCCAGGGCTCTCTAGCCTCCTCCTCATGGCACCGCAGTCCCATAGGACACAGCCCGCTGAGGGAGCAGCCATTCCGCGTCACCACCAGGACAAGGCTTTGGGCTGGCTGGAAGCGTCTCATAAGTTACATTCTGCCCATGAATCACCAGCAGGTCAAGACTGTTTCATTAAGCAGTAGATTTCCCCCACCATTACCAACAGAGAAAATTTCTGAACCACACTGCATCCAAGCTGTTTGATCAAACTGGAACACACTGACTCTAAAAATCCAAATATAATACATGCTATATCATGTATATCTTGGTGCCTGTTGGATATTAAATTATCAGAGATGTATGGGAATAGCAAATATTTCATCACATATATTGAGTACTTCTAATTCTGCATTACCTTCCCTGTGTCCTTTGAGGGTATCATTACTAGTGTTCTTTCACTTCTAGGTATATCTCAAAACTCATATTATTGTCCATAAGTATTCTCAAAACAGAGCACAATGTGGTGATACTACTGTAGCTACAAAAGAGTAAGTCTCGCACAAACACTCCAAAAGCCTTGTACCAGGAGAACAATCCTGCAAACACAAGTGTTTCCTTTTTATATTGAGAGATGTCTGAAGACAAAAAACCCCTTTCCCTCCTTACTACATTGCCATGCTTTGGGAATATTGGTAATTGAGGGATTCTCTCTTCAAGGTGCTTTGCATATCAAAGGAACAGAGCAGCTTGGCAACACGACAAACATTTTAGGGGAAACCGGTATACAAAAAAAAACCAGTCAGCTACTGCCAGAGAAAACCATGCATTGTCTTCCTGAATGTCTCTAAGGAGATTTCAGATTAATCAGCCAAGAAAATCAGGTCTGCTTACTATCATTATTATTCGTGATGCTATCTTAGTCCAAAAGCCCTTCCTTAGGGTCACAACCAGGCAAAACTGCAGTCCAACTGATTTCCAACATAGCTTGCAGTCTAGGCATGAGACACAGATGTGCTCACACACACGAGAGGAATAGAGAAACAAGAACTGATCAATTTAATCAACAATGGTTTTTCACACACCAGCAGAAAAGCGTTTTGCAAGGCATCATAATCAATGAACATTTTATTTTTATGCTACCCCGACTGCTGACACAGAATATTGACACAAACCCCTTCATAGTCCTCTCTGAATCCTAGATTTGACATAAAAAACTGAATCCCAGGCTTTGGTCCAAACTCTTACAGCTAGAGCAGCAATTGCAAATATTATTCAAGAAAACCCAATTTGGGCCAGGAGTGGAAACCTCTGCTTTGCAGGAGGTTTGCATGCCCAGCCCAGATACCAGCACCCTGTTCCTTTACAAAGTCTGAGCAAAACTACAGATACCTGTAACCATCAAACTCCATCTGTGATCTTTCTATCCTTTAACTCTCAGTCTGACATAAATTGGGGCTTTTAGCTCTCTGGCAAAACACACAAACAATAAACCCAAACATTCCCCCTTTGCATTTTCATGCTGTCAGATTTCCTCAGAGCTATTTCCACCATTCAAAGGAAAAACTGTCTAATCATTCCTGAAACAAACCTTAATCCCCATTTCCTTTTTCATTTACAAGCCTGCACAGAGCTCCTTTATAGGCAATCACCAGATTTGACTAATCAACTCCATCTGGGGTCACTGGAGCTTGGTTAGCCTGGATGAAGATTTGAAGTTCTTTGCTTGCAAAAGCTTGCCAAAAGATGCTTGTGATTAATTGGCCATTTCCATTTTATAGAATGTCAGTCTCTGGTTATAAATAATAAATGTGTGATATCTCAGAGGACTCAGGATCCAGGGTGATCAGCTGTAATCTCATTTGCACCAAAGTGAGTCAGACCTCAGTTCCAGTTAGATTCTCACTCCTTGCTCTGCTTACTCCTTTTTGGATTATGTCTCCCCCAAAAAACAAGCCTGGATGAAATACGCACATCTTGGGAATTAGCAATGAAGGGCTTACCTTGTATTTAACTTCACCCTATGCCTTTACAAGGCAGCAAGGAAAATGGCTTCCCTTTATTTTTTTTTTACAAGAAGGAATGTATTATCCAGACAGTTATAGCTGAGACCCAGCTGCTTATGGCAGCTCTGAGCAAATGTGAATGGCTTCGATGTAAAAGTAGACTGATGACTTGGCCTTTCTCCTTCCTTACTCACAGGGTAAAACTTTGGATAAATGCCTGGTGGAAAGAAGAATACCATAGCCATATGGGATCTTGCCCAATATCTTTATTGAAAGAGATACGTGAAGTAGAACTTTCTACAGAAAAATAGTTTTAACTTTGCAATCATTACCTACTCTTTGCCTGGGTTCATACATAAAAGTGGGCACTCAGTGCAAACTTAGGAATTATGAAATGAATTTCCTACAGAGATAAACAAAGCAGGGCAAGGACACTGTGACACTCTATATTTCCATCAGTACAAGCTTGGCAGCAAGCTGGAAGACAAAGTAGATGGGAAATTGGCACCCAAAACAAAGGAAAACAAAGCTGGGAAGCATATCTGTTAGCATCTT